GAACTCCAGTGCATACCGCTCTAGCATGGGGACAAGCTCACGGATGGGGAAGATGGTCTCGGACATCCGTAGACGACTGCCGAGGCTGCGGACCTTGTCGATCACCGCTTCGTAAGGTTGCGGTGAGCCGTGCTGAACGGTGGCGTCATGGACCCCCTGGATCAGGTGTTGCCAGGTTGACTTGACGTCGGCCGCATTGCGATGGTCGGCTTGGTAGAAGATTTGGAGACAAATGTCATGGTAGCTGGCCGAGTCGGCGTATTTATTGAATAGCTGAAAACATGTTAGTATCGTATTTTAAATCTGATTCCCAGGGGAAGAATTCAAAGAGAGAAAAAAGAAAAAAAGTTGGGACGGAGACTTACTGTGCTAATATCCATCACTGGTCCATCGACTTCGCGCAGGATCTCGGGTTTCCGCTCGGGGAGAATCCGCTCGTCATCCTTGAGTCTTTGGAGTAGGTCATCCTGAATATTGGCCACATCAATGAGGTTCGAAATCTCTTGCAGCAGTCGCTGCCTTGACTGCCGCCCAACGTCCGGTGTGAAAATTGAAGCGTTGGCACGGGCTTGACCAAGGTACTCAATACGGCGACTCAATGGCAACACGAAAGCACTATTGGCCAGATGGAATTGAACCTGTGCAGTCTCGAAGAATCGTTGGGACTGGGCATAGAACCGCCAGAGCAGATCAGCATGGCCCAGATCATCGTTCGACTTGCGCTGGAGGTATGTGACCACAAATGGCGATTGAGTCTGCAGCAAGCGATCGTTCCAGCCCTGCTCGAGGTACCAGTCGTACAAACTCGTCAGGAATACCTCATCGGTGGAATCGGAAATCACGCCATAGGCCTCGTTCTGGCGTTTGGCAATTGTGGTCAGCTGGCCATCAATGAGACCGGGATCAGATGCAGCCAATTTGTCAACTGCAAGCACGACTTTGAAGATGAGGTCGTAGCACTGCTTGCGGAAATAAAAGTATTCCTTACGGGGGTCCTGGGTAGTCGTGGGCGTCAGTGCGCGCTGGGATCCATAGGGGAAAAGGGGGATAGGCACCTGTTCGGGACGCTGGTCCATGATCCAGGAATAGGCAAGGTTTGACTTGTCGGACCGAGCAGCAACATTGAGGGCAAGCTGAATAGCACCTGAAAGAGAGAAAATCCCCAATTAGTATGAGATAGCAAAGACCACCAAGGATTGCACAACGTACCTGCAAAGAACTGGTTGACAATGAAATTGTCCACAGCCGAAACCAGATAATCCATAGGTAGACATTCTGCCACCTGCTGGAAGAGATGCAGACTCTCGTTGAGCAAGTTGCGGCCCAATTCTGTATTAGCACCGGCCTCAGTCGCACGCTTCAGCATTTCTTGCGCCTTGAAAATCACCACATCCTCTGTACTGCAGAAACTGCCACATCGTCGTCGAAGTGCATCAGCCACGGTCTCGACGTTGGAACCCTTGGCAATGTTCCGGTTGACAATACCCTTCACGAGTTCCTTGGCAATGTCATGGCCCTTGCTGGAGCTGAAGAGTTCCTCAAAGGTGAGGCTGAGGAACTTTGCTTTCGACTCAGCTGGCAAAGTCGCCACAATCTCATCAACCCGCTCATCAAATAGAACAAGTATAAACGAGATACCTTCGATGGTGTGTGACACTAACTGAACGAGTGAGTGCAATGCACGGTGCTCGGCTTGCAACGCCACTTCTTCTTGCTTGCTGTTTACCCGGGCAAGAGCGTCGGGACCGTTGAGCCCATCGATAAATGTCTTGTTCACCTTGAAGAACTCTGCCAGCGAGGAGAGATCATGCTGGACAGTCTGCAGTTTACTGGAACTCACGGACGCGGAAACGGATTGTGCGCCATTAGGTCCATTGCCCACCTTGGCAATCTTCTCCTTCCAGATAGATCGCAACAGACGGGCGATGTATAGTGCAATCCCCGTGTGTCGAGGAGAGGGCTGCACTGCGTCGAGAACAGACGTTGAGCCATCTGCAATAGCATTTTCATTCAGATGGGCTCGACCACCTTGGGTGATGAAGGCCTGGCGTGCTGCCGCCAGGATGTCCGGATCGGTAATTCGGGTCAGTCTTTGGTCGGGGGAAATCTCCATGCCCTGGCCACAGGCCACTGCCAGAGCAGTCGCCAGCATCTCGCTCCGTCCATATGTTCTAAGGAAATTTTGGATCTCTCCGGACATTCCCTCGTGGGGATTGCCGCTGCTCCGGAGCAAAGCCGCGAAGATATCCACGAGACGACGCCGACGAATGATATGAACTCCACCATTAGTCAGGATCGCGATCTCAGCAGCCGGGTGGTCGAATTGAACAGCCAGCTCGTTGGTCACCGGCGAAGGCGCTGAAATCAAACCAATATCCTCTGCTTTGCCTCCCAGGTCAAGGATGATAGCCGACTCAGCGGCTTTACCATTGACCGGACTTTCTTGATACTGAGCGACTCGACCAGAGTCCGGAGTTGAGATGAAAAGGGTATCGATCTTTTGTTGTGGATCCTTCGTAGTGAAACAGAAGAAATAGCCTGGGGAATATCGCTCGGCAAGACGAGTTGGTGAAAGTGTGGTAATCTGACCAGCAGAAGGTAAAACCGTGCCAAGAGGTGAAACAAGTGAGTTGGGGGATGCCACTCCGCTCACGCCGGGGGAGATATCGACAGGTGGTGTTTTGACATGCAGTGCTTGCATGCTTGTGGGAGGACTGGTGGTGGTCGACGTAGGTGCCCAGCTGTTTGAACCGGTGGCGCTGAGGTAGATGCGATATCCTGTCACCGTTGTTGCAACTAGATGATACCGCGACGCTTCTGTAGCTGGCACCGGACTGATTGACACAATTTTGACTCTGGGGTTGAGGGTTTCGTTTGAGGTGATGATGTGCCCGATGTTGGAGTAGATATCCAGAGCGCGTTTGGTGATTGCGAGTGTCAGACTGCCCTCAGGTCCCATGTGGAACACGCGGATTGTAGATGCCGAGGAGAGTGTGTAGAGCAAATTCCGGCTGTCATCAATTACCATCTGCACGACATGTTCGGCGGCGCCTTGTGCAAGATTTGTCAGGCTCATCGAAGGCTTGAAAGCCGATAGACGCGAGCTGGTATGGTTGACTCTGCCACAGCGGCCCTGGAACCACCTTTCCTCCTGTTGATAAGTGACCTCGTGCACATCGGTGTCAGACGATCCTCCAAAGAAAATGCGTCCAGTAGATGCCGATGCCGCGAAAACATTGATATCCAAGCCACGGACTGCTACCGACATCCCTGTGTGATACAAAGAAACCTGGCGACCTCCGCTGGGCGTGTTCTCGTAGCCCATCCCCAGTAGAATGATGTCCGCAGTCGTCGCAATGACCAGCAAATGGGTGATCGCAGGCAAGAAAACCCCCGGGCGCGGTTTGGTCAGCTTGACAGCATTGATGCTGTTGGGCTGTTCCTCGAATCCCACCAATTGCGGGTTGGGGTGTGTGAAATCCCAAATGTACAACGCATTGTCAATCGCGACCCACGCGTGGTTTAATTCAGCAAACAGACCCATGCTAGTCGAAACTTGTGCGCGGTTATATTGATCGAAAATCTGGTCGGGGATGTCGTACATCTTGACTTTTTGGAATGGTGCCCATGATTGAGATATGGGGATGTTGTACTCAGACGAGGAGCCCTCTGTTTTCAGTCAGTCTTGTTCGGAGAGTATTAGCTGGGGAGTCTTACGGGATAAATAGCTATCAAGGTCTGGATAACGCGACTCGCTTTGCAAGCTGCTATTGATCGTTCGCGCCCCGCGTTCCTCGGTGCTCACCGTTTGATTTTTGGTTTTCGAGGCTGCTGGAGGGAGCTTTGGCATGGGCGTCTGGGGTTCCGTTTGCAATGGCGACTTGGCAGGGAGAGGCCGCGCGGTAGCTGGCGCCGGGGTCTGGAAGTAAGCCCCAGGAAGGGGTTTCTGCGGCGTTGCCGGAGGGAGATTTGTTGGAAGAGTCGGATACGACATGGCGGCGGTTTAAGAGGGAGAAAGGGACGATCCCCCGCTAGGAATCACAAAGAAGCTGCAGTGTAGGTCGGATGGGAAAAGGAAAGTAAAAGATATGTGGGGGAATGACGATGAGAGAAGGTCTTGGGAGGAAATTGGATTATTCAAGGTCTTTGCGAAAAGCGAGAGAGTCAACACCTGGGAGCGCACAGACCAATTGGGATCTTCCGCCTTCACGTTATTGTTGATTGTCTCCCATCTCCATTGATCCCTCAATCGAGCTTGTTTCTTATTGTCTAAATTGTCAGTCGAAATGTTTCAATCAGTCCGTTTTTCTTCGCGCCTACCAGCTCGTCTGGTACGGTGGAATTCCACTGGTCCGGTCCTGCCACCCTTGATGGCAACTTTGCGGACTGATCTGAAAACTGCCATGAGAGCCAAAGACACCACCAGGTAGAGATCCTTTCCACTTATATCTTCAAGGTTCAGCAAGCTTATGATTAGACTAAACGTACTTCGCGCTTTGATCTCCGAGACCAACAACGCCGCCAAAACCGCCTCCCCGATTCAGACAGACATTCAACTCTTGTCGCTAATCCGGAAACGCCTGAATGCTTCCAAAGATGCGGCAAAGGAGTTTGAGGCTGCTGAGCGTCCAGATCTGAAGGAGAAAGAGGATGCACAGGTTGTGGTCTTGGAAGAATATGCTAGTCAAGTCAAGACCCTCCCCATCGCCGAGATCAAGGAAGTGGTCATCAACGAGATCGCTGCTATGATCAATGCCAATACGAAGCCCAACCAAGGAATGGTTCTCAAAGCTCTCTTTGCTGCGGGAGGCCCTCTGGATGGCAAGCCAGTGGACCGGAAAGAAGTTGCTACCGAGGTGAAGAACGCGCTCTCTTGAGCTTACATTTTACCAGATTGTATATTACTGTCACAATAGCCTCAGTCAAGGGCATTCCAATCTCATTTATAATTCACACAAAGAACGAATCCCAAACTCCTCACCAACGCCAGCCTAAACGGTTCATGAGCAGAAGAAAACTACACCTCCAAGAGATGTCATCAGAACACCCAACCACCACCATCGGTCTGGATTGACCAGCTGTTCTCTTGCGGTCAGCTGGAATCCTGACGTTGACGATAGTTCTCGTTTTCGCTTATCACCGGTTGGAATGGGGTTCAATGTAGTGGTAGGGAGCATCTTTGGTGGCTGGTAGGCGAGGAACATGGGATTGACGACCGAGCCATCAGCCTTGGTCAAATCGAGGCGTTTAATGCGATTGAACTTGTCAACATCTACGGTAAATCCCTGTGTGTTGTCAGAAAAAGCTGGCGGAGAGAGAAAAACGAAAGAGATGTACCTTGAACTCCTCGGTGGTGTTATATCGTGTGTAGTGACCTGACTTCTTCCGACAGGGGTCGGACAGCAGCTGACGGCCATCGACAGCAATTGGAGTCAATAACAAAGTTCCGTTGCCAAACACGGTATAAGCCCCATGCTGCCATTGCATTATCCCTCCGGGGCATGATGGGTCGGTAGCTGTTCAATATCAATACGGCGTCGAAATCTATATCCATAGTGTACTGACGATTTGAGATTGCCCGATAGTATGCGGATTCATAATTTCCATCATCATCAAATGAATATGAAATGCCCGTTAGATTCGGCTCGAGCAGCTTGTCGTTGAGCGGATCGTAGAATCCCTACACACGTTAGTCTCAAGTCGTATACTATAGTAGCTCCACATACTGGACCAGTAAGAACGTCACGAGATTTGGTGGTCCATGTTCCAAACAAGTCGTTCGCATTTGCCAGAGCGGCTGTAACTAAAAGATAAATAAAAAACATCTTAGTTGACAAAAGGAAAATGTACAGAAAGGGAGTATTTGAAGGGCGCCCTTTATTGGGGTGGAGACAACATTCCTGGAATGGAAAGGGTTGAAGTTTGCATTGTATAAATATTTATATATAAACAATATATACACTGGTTCTGTAGTGTAGTGGTTATCACTCTGGTTTTTGATCTATTGTATCAATCTAAAATTACCAGAAACCCCAGTTCGAACCCGGGCAGGACCTTTTCTTTTTTTGCGGAAACCTTATGCGTTCTTCTAACTTCTTATTTTTTTTATTTTTTTTACATATACTTTATTCGCAGTGTCATAGACAAAAAAAAATATGAATGATTAGCTATATAAGTAAGCTCAAGGTAGGAATAATACTTCGAAGTACTCCGTAAGCATACTGGGATTAATATTATGACTCTACGGGAATATATACCAAGGCGGTAAAAAGCATAAACCGGATGACCTTTCTACCTATAACTAGGGACTTCCCCCGCGGATTACTCTACTTGTATTTACCCGTGGGCTTTAGAATTATCTACAACTATCCTAACAGGATGGCATTCCAGGCTGCAAAGCGTGAGCTTCGCAAGAGGATGAGCTCAACGCTGCAGAGTCTGTCTGCAGCCTCAATAAGTCAACAATGTCAGATTGAATGATGGCCCCTGAGTTCTAAGGTTGTACATGCTAACCTGTCCTAGCCAGCACGGCAACGGCCAAGTTTTTGTCACTGCCCGAGTATCAAAACGCCAAAAGCATCGCCGTATACCTGTCTATGCCAAACGGGGAACTATCAACAACAGGAATCGTAAAGGATGCTCTACAGCGCGGGAAGAATGTCTACATCCCGTACATTCATGCCCAGGACAAAACATCCATCATGGACATGTTCGCCCTCGGATCCATGTCCGAGTTTGAGTCATTACAGCCGGACAAATGGGGAATCCCATCTCTCCTAGCTACGCAAATTGAAGGTCGACCGAACGGATTGACACAGGGCTTGGATCTTATTGTTATGCCGGGCGTGGCCTTTGACCACGGGTTCCGACGACTTGGTCATGGCAAAGGGTATTATGATCATTTTCTAACGCGATACTCAACATTGACCCGCAAAATGCCATTCCTTGGTAAGAGTCCCAGAAAAGAAACAATCCGTTTATCCCCGACTGAACTCCATGGTAGTTGCCCTTTCTCTCCAAGACCAGTTACTCTCCGAGGATATTCCCGTGGTGGAGCACGACTGGTTGATAGATGCGATCGTGGTTGGTGATGGTCAATACTTGGACCGCAGGGTGTAGTGCAAATTGAAAATACAAAAGGAATAGCGAAAATTCAAACGGCCTGGATCAGAGAAACGTTGTCTCCCTTGAGGAGGATCTGGCCTGTTGCGCATTAGTTAGCTGTGTTCTCGTGGGACCCCGGTTTCAATTTCATCGTACCTAGTGGCCGGCGCTTCTCTTCCTCTGTCTTGGTTGCCAGACGCACTTCGACGGCATCGTCAATGACCAGGTTCATGAATTCATCGAAACCCTAGCATAGGTTAGCTTAGATGACAACCAAAACGATATCTCGTAAGAAACACATACACGGATCTTCCCTTCTATCCGGAAGGCGAGCTGTTCATACAGCCAGACTGAAACAGTGCTGCGCTTCTGCAGGAGACTGAAAATGAAGTGAATCGGAGCCAACAATGTCTTGCGGCCTGCCATGATGTGCGGTTATGTCGAAAGTGATAGCTGTCACACGGGGGGACGAGGCGAAGAAAGCTCTGGCGGGCCTGGCAGTCGTCCCGTGATTTGATTACCGTAATACGGTTATCTTGTCACGGCCACCCCATCCCACCTTCAACTCCCCCTCTTCGAACCCGTTCGCCTCATCAGATGCTGATACATTTTTGATACATTGCTGAGCCTTGATTAATCTATTTAGTTCAACATGGCCAGCAAGGAAGCCGGGCAGGCATTCGCCCCGGTCCTGGCGGCCGTCGCGACAATGCAAGGAAATGTGCCTAGGACTGAGAAGACTCAGGCCCATGAATTCCTTGAGAAGTTCCAGAAATCGGTACGATTCTTTGGCTTAGAATTGAGTGGGATTGTTCGCTGACCTTGTGTTTATAGATTGAGGCCTGGACCACAACCCACGCTCTATTACAGTCCCCCGATGTGCCCGTTGAAGCCAAACTATTCGCCGCGACCACACTGAAAGGAAAAGTAAGGTTATTCTTGCCTGAAGATTTTCGCCGTTTCTAATTGCGCAGATTATATTTGATCTCGATCAACTCCCCCCGACTCAGTATTGGCCCTACGAGACTCGGTTCTCAACCTATTGGTGGCATTTGCGCCAGGCCCGCGCCCTATTCAGACTCAGTTATGTGTGTGTCTAGCCAGTTTGGCAATCCAGATGGTCACATGGAAAGATGTACTGGCGACCGTCGGAGCCGCGCTAGGAAGCAGTGCAGGGGACTGTGTGCTGGAGTTCCTGAAGATTCTGCCCGAGGAAGTCACCGAGGGTCGCAAAATCAATCTCAGTGTATGTTTCAGTATTGATGTTCACAAAGGTCCAAGCTGACATTTACCAAAGGAAGATGAATTGTTTGCGAGAACCAAGGAGCTGCTAGAAGACAACGCGGAGCAGGTCATGCAGCTGATGATCCAATATGCCCAGTCGTCGCGTACGTATTCAACGAACCCTGTTCTATCAATTACGTATGTAGGATTCATAACTGACCACAAACAGCTGCTGCCGCAACCAACCCCCGTCTCTTAGACTGCATTACTTCGTGGCTACGTGAAATCCCTGCCGCCAAGGTTGTTGAGTCACCTCTCATGGATGTTATCTTCAAAGCGTTGGACAACGACATATCTTTTGACGCTGGTGTCGACTGTGTTTGCACGCTTTACCGCGACACAAAGGACGTGGACGAGTCGTTGCCCGTCATTCAAGCCCTTTATCCCCGATTGATGGCACTTCGCCCAAAGATTGCCGAAACAGCCGAGGCTGAAGATTTGGAGGCTTTCAAGGGTGTCACACGAATGTTTGCGGAGGCAGGTGAAGCGTGGGTTGTCCTCGTTGCACGTCTGCCGGGTGAGTTCCAGGGACTCGTTGAGGCACTTCTCGAATGTTGCGCGCGGGACTGGGAGCGCGACGCAGTGTCTTTGACTTTCATTTTCTGGTACGAACTGAAGCAATATGTTACTCTGGACCGGTACACCGACGCTCGGCTCGCGTTCCAGCCTATCTTTGCCCAATTGGTCGACATCATGGTGAAGCATCTCGAGTTTCCTAGTCCGGAAGACGGTGAGACCGAAGATTTGTTTTCTGGAGACCGCGAGCAAGAGGAAAAATTCCGTCAATTCCGCCATGCAATGGGCGATGTCCTCAAGGACTGCTGTGCCGTTGTGGGTGTGAATGATTGTCTTGCTAAAATCTACCAACTGATCCAGCAATGGGTTGGCAAGTATGCATCTCAGGCAAGTAATGAGCATGTTCCTCATTGGCAGGAATTGGAGGCTCCTCTGTTTGGTCTCCGCGCAATGGGCCGCATGGTCGACCCCTTAGAAAGCACTATTCTTGGAGAATTGATTCCTTTGATCGTTCAGATTCCTGACCAGGAGAAAGTGCGGTTCCAGGCGATCATGGCACTAGCACGCTACACGGAATGGACAGCTAACCACCCTGAAACATTGGAGGCTCAGCTTAACTATGTGATTTCCGGTTTCCACCATTCTTCCCAAGAAGTTGTGCAGGCCTCTGCTCTTGCCTTCAAGTTTTTGGGAACAGACTGCCAGAAGTTGCTTGGTGGCCATATTACGCAGCTGCATGCCTTCTATGAGTCAGTTCTTGATAAGCTGAAGCCCACCAGCCAGGAGGAAGTCACTGAAGGTGTTGCCGCAGTGGTTTCGGTGCAGCCCCATGATAAGATCTACGATTCATACAAAATGTTCTGCGACCCGATTATGGCTCGCATTATGAACCTTGCGAATAATGCGCAAACTGAAGAAGGCCAGCGAGCCGTGGCCGATCATCTACAACTGATCACTATCTTTGTGCAAGTGGTGACTCCGATTCTTGCACCGGGAGAAGAAAACCCTGCCGTCAAATACTGCAGCGAGGTTCTGCCTATTATGGCCACGATTGTCATGAACTTTACGTCTTCCACACCTATTCTCGAGCGAGTGTGCCGATGCTGGCGATACATGATCATTTCTTATCGTACTGGAATGATCCCTCTTTTGCCGACTCTGGCTCAGAGTATCGCGAACGGATTCCAGGCCTCACGCGAGGGCTGCTTCCTTTGGGCTACGGATGCGGTGGTGCGTGAGTTCTCCGATGGTGCCGAGTACGTGGACCAGGCCACCAGCGATGCCGTTTTCCAGTTCTATGAGCAGCAGGCCATTGCTTTCCTGCGGATCTTGAACGATCTCCCCCCTCAAAATCTGCCAGATGTGATTGAAGACTTCTTCCGTCTCTCCTCGAACGCCGTTCGATACTACCCCAAGAAGTACATCACCTCGTCCCTCGCCGTCCCCATCTTCTCCGCCGCCCTCAGTGCTCTCACTCTTCAACAAGTCGACCCTCTCATCGCTACGCTTCATTATTACCGGGATCTGTTCAGCTTTGCATTTGATAAGCCTATGGTCTCCCAGTTTACCAGTCCGGAAGGCCAGCCTTACGTTACCCCGCCTGAGGTTCGCGAGGCCGTTAAGGCATTGATTATCTCGCAAGGCCAGCCTTTGGCGCAACGTGTGTTGACGGGCATGATGTTCACTTTCCCTGGTGACTGCTTCGCTGATGCGTCGGGAGTACTGATGACGATGTTCGAACTGCTCCCCCAGGAAACCGGGGCATGGCTGCAGACTACACTGCAGATGCTGCCGACTGGCACTATGAAGCACGGCGAAGCCGAGCGACTGCTAAAGAATGTCTCCGAGAAAGTACAGTCAGGGGACACCCGCAAAATCCGTGTTCTCCTCCAAGGTTGGTCCTCCTTCCCTTTGTTCTTTTATTACCTCATCTAACCTCACGCAGACTTCACCAACTCCTATCGCCGCCGCAATGTAGCCCCACGCGATGGCCTTGGCCGCCTGGAGGCCACTCGATTCCGATTCAGCGGATGAGAATGTCACTGGAAATTCTTTAGTGCTGATCAGCACTAAAAAAAAGAGAAACCCACGGAAGCATTGCACAAAACCAGGCGTCAGTTGCTATTAACGTGCCATGTGGTACGATACACGATGGGATGGCATGAACTCGGTGTGATGATTAATGACCTGCTGGTACGCCGGCACTGACCAGAACCTTTCTGGCTTTGACATTGCTGCCCCTTCAGGTATTGTACGAGCTCGACCTGTATCTAGGTATTCAATAGTCCGACTCATTTCTGCATTGAGATGCGTCTTTGGCGCACTTTCTGTGTATGGTCATTTGATTACGAGTAATGAATCTATTGGGCATCAATAATCCATTGGCATATATATATATATTATATTTAGTAAGTGTTTTATGTTTTTAGGATAGTATAGGATCTACAATTATATAGGCTAACTCCAAGTACGGGGTATAGAAAGAGATTATACAGATCATCCCGAGCAGTATATATCACTATTGTAGAGCGCATAGACATGTTCGAAAAGAATAGTAGTAGTATATTCCTTACGATATACTATACGAGATATACTCGGACTCACCTCTCCACCCCACCGAGATCTCCGCACTTCCTCCCCGGACAACCTTCTCCTTTGCGCTTCATACTTTGATTCATTTCTACTCTTGGACCTCCTTCCGACACATTCTTCCGATTCCACCAGTGATCGTCGTGCCATGGCATGAAATGGAGACCGACGGTCAACCCTCGAAGAGACGGCGACGCAGTCGCAAAGTTCTCTCCGATCGCAAGTTTGAATGCACCTTCGAAGGCTGTGGGAAGAGCTACTCTCGTGCCGAACACCTGAGTCGCCATGCGCTCAACCACACCCCGAAACAAATCTATCGCTGCGACTTTCCCAACTGTTTCCGATCCTTCGTGCGACAGGACCTCTGTACACGCCACCGTGAACGTCACACCACCAGCGGTTCCCAGCTCCAGAAACGAGATCATTTCGCTGAAAATGACACCAAAACTTCCCCGACTTCCTCGCCTGCAATCACCGCGCCGGAATACTATGTTGGCTCGGAGGAGCCCAAACCACCCGTGACAACATACCCCCTCACCACCGGAGTCGATAACAATGGGATACCGGTGGATCAATACTCGGATTTCCCGGCGGCGCTGGACCAACCCGATAATCTGATCGACCTTGACTCCATGTCCTACCCGATCTTTGGCGGGGAAACCTATAACCGATCACCATTCGCCATGGCGGACGACTTTGCAGCGTGGCTATTCAGCGAGCCACTCACACCGCTGGGCTATGGAATGGTACCGCTTGTTCAGAACCAGTTCTACGTGAACGAGCCTACATATAACAACAACAACTTTTGCTCCGTGATTCCACAGCATCCGATGAGCGTGACGAGTATTCTGGACTCGGGAGCTCCACCAGCTATTATATCTGAAGGAAAGCGCCAAGAGCTGCTGCACTTGATGTCAACTCGATTCAATGAATCGGCGTATGCGATGGGTGCTAAACGCAAAGACGCGCTGATGGACGGAGATTTGAATAATGACCGACATGTCTTGAGCTTGCGCATGATGCAGTCGTACATTGGATCTTATTGGTACCACTTCCATGCACAACTTCCAATTTTGCATCAGCCGACATTTAGCGCTGATCGTACCCCGAATCTATTACTACTAGCGATTATGGCAATTGGAGCCGCAACGTTGGATAATATTCATGGCCAGTCTGTCACCGAAGCAGCGGCTGAATTGGCTAGCTTCATTGCTTGGCATTTGCGTTGGGAAATCTTCATGGATGCGGACTTTCGGCCGCCAGCTAGGCTCTGGGTGTTTCAATCTCTGTTACTACTTGAAGTCTACGAGAAACTCTTTTCTACACGCGCATTACATGAACGCGCACACATCCACCACGACACAACACTCACGCTTATGCGCCGAGGTAGTTCGCTCATCGCTAATCCTTCATTTGCCACCCCGGAAGCCAAAGAAGAAGACGAGTCATGGGCAACCTGGATCAAGACCGAAGCGACTCGGCGCGTGGCATTCGCCGCCTTTGTGCTGGACTCAACGCATGCCACTATGTTCGGCCACTCGGCCAAAATGGTGGCCCACGAACTGCGGCTGCCATTGCCATGTGACGAGGCGCTGTGGGCTGCAACCAGCGCCGCCGAGGTCGCTCGCGTGCAATCCAGTCTACAGTCGCACGGTGTGCGGCCAATTATGTTCCTCGACGGCCTCAAGCGCACACTCAATGGCCAGCCCGTCCGGACCAACGCGTTTGGGCGAATTATTATCATGTCAGGCTTGCTGAGCGTCTGCTGGCATCTCAACCAGCGAGACCTGCAGATCAGCTCGCTCGGTGTGGGTCAGACCCTCGGCGGACGAGATAAGTGGCGGACAGCACTTCTCCGGGCGTTTGATAACTGGCGTCGTGACTTCGACGAAGCCCTGGGTCCGTCGACCACATCCGAGTCCCGCAACGTACTGCACGGGCTGGCCCATATGGGCTCCCATGTCGATATAGCCGATTTACAGATCTTCGCAGGTGCTGGTCGGTTAATGGGACGGTCTATCACAGCCCGTGACTACTCTGCTGCACGAGAAAAGACCGAGAAATGGGCGACCAAGGCTTCGGCGCGGGATGCCACGTTCTACGCGCTCAAGTTCCTATGTGCCTGTTTCTTAGACCCGACCACACAGCCTGGGGAGTATGCTGCACGTGATGACTACGTGTTAAATCGGCCGTGGGTGATGTACTTTGCAGCGTTGGTGGTATGGACCTATGGGTTTGCGCTGGATGGACCCTTGCGTCCACCCCCTATTCTCCTAACAGTGGCCGACCGAGAGCGCGACATGCAGGGATTTTTGCATCGCGTGGGTGAAATTCAGGAACCCCACGAATTGGAGGCTATGCACGGGCGCAATGGATGTCTCGGTCTGTTAATGATTCTCCGAGACTCCTTTGCCAAACCGCGGTGGGAGTTGTTGGGAGAGGCGGCGCGGCTGCTGGACAGCTGCATCGCAAAGCTGCAGTCGTAGCATGTATGATGTGTTTATATACCAATGATTATGTTTCTATTATTCTGAACCTTTGAAGTGAAGTACGGAGTATGCACTATAGAAGTATACAAGTATACGCCCCTGAATACCGCGTTGCCCTAACAACCGCCGATCCCACATCCAGTTCCTCCCGACCTTCACCTCCCAATCCGCATTTTTGTTTCCAATCTCCAATCTCCAATTTCAAAACTATCCAACCAAAATGGTGAGTTCTCAAATTCCTCAATGTTGATGCACTTCCTATTCAAGCGGTCCTACCGTCATCCCTTCCCGCCCATGTAACCACGGAATCGGCCCCCCCCGATTCCCCCCTCTACAACTGTGTCATTAAGGCATTACCATCGACCTCACTTTCATCTTCATCATGGCTAATCAACACGATCAGGCCTCTACAAACTACAAGGAAGCGTTCTCGCTCTTCGATCGCCGTGGTACCGGCCGGGTCGCTGGTGACCTCCTCGGTGACCTGCTCCGCGCTTGCGGTCAGAACCCCACGCTGGCTGAGATTAGTGACTTGGAGAAGACTGTCGGTGGTGATTGTATGTTTTCATTCTTACCTTGGTGGATGCGCTTGCGCGTGTCTATCGAAAGTAGGGAAATCCCTGGCTAATTCCCTCTCCCTCGCTCTAGTTGACTTCGACTCCTTCCTGAAAGTCCTCAACCGCCCCGGTGGTTTCCGTGAACCCGGCGAGCCTGAGGAGTACTGTCGTGGATTCCAGGTCTTTGATAAGGATATGACTGGGTTTATTGGTGTTGGACAGCTGCGCTACAGTATGATTTTGCCCCACAATTTGGATGCGCTTGGAAAGGAGATCGCTAATATGACACTTCTAGTTCTCACAAATCTTGGCGAGAAGATGTCTGATGATGAAGTCGATGAGCTGCTCAAGGCTGTCGATACTAGCTCCGGCGAGATTAACTACACGGGTATGTTTGGCCGTGGGAGTCCAGTGTGGACTATATATGGTGAATTACATCTGCTAACTCCCTCCAGATCTTGTCCGTACTATCCTCGCCAACTGATACCCCGATATGATTAACGTTCGATATGGAAATGGCTACGGCTTGAGGGATTGATATTCGGCGCGTTGGAACCTTCGTCTTGTATGTTTTTATCAAATACACTGTATTATTTTGGTCCGGGGTATCTTAGAATGTAGATATCCATCTACATCTGTACGTAGATTGTACATCTAAACAGCCCACTCCCTCCACTCCCTCTCCCCAACCCCCCTCACCCCCCAACTTCTCCGTTTCCACAACAGCCCCGGGAAGAAGGTAAACAGCCGGCGGCCGTTCCTCCTCTTCTTCTTCTTGCTTCCCCACTCCCCGATCCCCAGCAGAGGGCCAATGCAGCCGATCCAAATAATACCCCACAACAACCTTGCACCGCCCACATCTCAAAAGAATCCTCTTCTCAATCCCGTCTTCGCGTCGGATAACAGTCGCCCGTCGGTCCGGGACCGTAGTGGCCAGTAAGAGCGTCGTGTGGTTAGAGGCATGTCTTGCTTTGCGCGATGACGTCTCTGTTGCCTTGGCTTCTTCTTCGAGTTCGGCTTCTACATCCCCGTCTGTTGAGCTCTTGCGTTCGAGTGGTAAGATCAGTGCTTTGTCTTTGCCTTCGCCACCGCGTCGTGGGAGCGTGCTTATGTTGCGTGTTGTTGCTAGCAGGAGGTGGTTGCAGAAGCGGCAGTGTTGGGTTTGGATTGGGAGGCGTTGGTCGGTCATTTTGAGGTTGGTAGAGTTGTGTTGTGATTGCGTATTGACAGACGCTTTTGACCTGATAGGAGCGGGGAAGATAGAGCTGGTGCGTACTGGCAGATCGGTTGCTATGTCGGTGATGCGAGTTGAAAGCTGGGGTCTTGGTTAGTCTTTTGCGCGGGTTTGAGTTGGAATTATCTTTCTGCCGGGGGTAGCTCAGTAGGTACTTACAGGGAAGGTGATTTGATTGAGGTATTTAATCCAAGACTCTGTGTTGTCTTGTATGCCAGAGTTCTACAATGAGGCAATTAAGAAAAAGAGAGCTGTTGCGAATAATTGCAGAATGGCAAGGCGGTGTGCTTATCAGTATATCAACAGTGTGATGTTTAACAGCTTCAACCTTGGAAGATTCCAATGTTAGCTACAATATAGCTAGTCCAAGCTAGAGGGATTAATAACATGTTGCTCGGCATTCATGAGCATCAATATGCATTCGTGTAGCTCTGATATAATTTTTTTAAGGTATAGTGTAAAGCCCCTGTCTGATGGCTGTTAAATGCTGCGCACCGGTTTATGCCAGTCCCAGGTCCTTATAGAATGCATCGGTCTGAGGCTCACGGCCCAGGAACTCAGTCAGAGTTTTCATCTCATCCTGGCTACCACCCTTCTCCAGAACCTGGTAGCGGTAGCGACGGCCAGCAGCCTTGTTCATGGGATCGTCCTTGAAAACGGTGTAGAACATGTCGGTGGAGTAGACTTGGGAGCTGCAGAGGAAAATCATCAGTATTTGCACAACATTGAAACCAATAGAATCAACTTATAAATTTACCTCAGGTATCCGTAGTATCCAGCGTCGTAACCTCCGATCAAATGTCCGAAAGTTGCCTCGCCGTGGCCCCACTCGTTACCAGCACCCAGAGCCTCCGGTCCGTCCATCTGGGTAATCTCCTGGCGGAGACGGTTGTATGTCGCAGACAGAGGAAGAGCCTCAATGTCAGCGTGGGTCTTGGGCTCGTGCACGGTCATGTCGAAGATACCGAAGTGCAGTTGGCGCAAGTTGAACAGGGAGTCGTTGACGTGCTTGGTGCGGATTAGGTTCTCAATCACATCGTCAGGGATGCGCTCTGATGGCTGGCTGGTGGCCTTCTCGCCCTGCTGGGCCTCCTGCCAGCTAGCAAGGTACTCTGGGGAGAGAGTTGAGTAGTGTCGGCTCAGAGAGCGCAGCTGCGAGGGTGTCCAGCACCAGTTCTCCAACATCTGGCTGGGTGCCTCAACAAAGTCCCGCACTGTGCTGGTGCCATGGAAGCGGGAGTAGATGGTCCGGGACACAAGATCGTGGATGCCGTGGCCTAGTTCATGGAAGAGGGTCACAACCTCGTCGTGCTTCAGCAGACTAGGCTTCTTATGCTGGGGCTTGGTGAAGTTGCACACCAAGGCGGTGGCAGGGAATCGGCGGTTGCCATCCTTATCAACGAAGCCGGGCTGCAGGTTAAAGTTGGCCGCATGGCCATACTTGCCCTCGCGAGGGAACAGGTCCAGGTACAAGTATCCAACGAACCCACTACCCTCGCCCTCATCGTTCCACACAGTGTACACTTGAACATCCTCGTGCCAGACAATGTCATTGCCCTGGCCAGTTGGGGCAATGGCTGCCCGGTCCTCGCCAATGATCTCAACGAACTCCAGACCGAACAGCTCCTCGAAGATCTTCAGCATACCCTCGATGGTTGTCTGCAAGGGGAACCACTCAGCAATAAGCTGTTGGTCCAGCGAGTAGTCCTTCTCGAGCATAAGACGGTCATAGAACCGGTGGTCCCATAGGTAGTAGCGGCCATCGGCCTTGGGGTCCGTGGCGTTCTTCAGATCTAGCAACTTCTGTGTCTCCTTCTTACCGCCAGCGGTCAGTCTGTCCCGAAGATCGCCCAAGAATTTGTTAACCGTCTCGGGGGTCTTGGCCATCTTGTCCTCAATACGGAAGGCAGCGTGGTTGGGGTAGCCGATCAGACGGGCCGCTTCATCACGGAGTATAATGGATTCCCGGAAGAGTGGCACGTTCTGGTTGCACTTGTTCTCGTTGGCGATCATGACTTGGCGGCGGACCTCGGGGTCAATGGCGTATTTCATGGTAGGGAAGAGGTCGGGGTATTTGAACGACAGGAAAAGCTTGCCGGCGTTCTCGCCCTCACCCTTCTTCAGGCCATCTAGAACGTCCTTGGGCACACCAGCCAGCTGCTCAGGGGTAAACCAAATGCCGCCGTTCTCCTCGTTCAGGTTCTTCTGGAATTCAATGCTCAGCTGGCTTAGCCTCTTCTTGATTTCCTTGAAGCGAAGCCGCTGAGGGCCGGCGGGCAGGCCAAGTCCATTACGGATAAAGTCCTTGTGTTCCTTCTCCAGCAGACGGCGTGACTCTGGGTCGAGAGACTCGTTGCGGCGCAGTACGGCGTCAACCAGACCAAAGATATCGTCACGCATGACTGCCTCAATAAAGAACTCATCCATGAGCTCTTCAGCCTTGGACGAGGCATCCCGCAGCTTCGAGTCGGTTGAGACAGCCTGGTAGAATCCTAGGATGTGTGACTCTAGTCCCATCTCGTTGTCATTTTGGGCGAGGGGACGGAGAACATTGGCAAAGGTTGCGGCTTCGGGCTTGATCTCCGCCACCACCTTGTCCTGAATGGCACGCGAGCTCTTGATCAAACGTTCGGCATCCGCCACCACTGACTGTGGAGTGGCCGTAAAGATAGGCGGGGCCTGGGGCGGCGTTCGGAGGTGAGCGGGGGCCATGCTGGAGGTCGTCAAGAGTCGTCTTGGTACGTTGGTACGTAATTGGCCCAGCACAGATGAGAGGCGGGCGGGGATACGGAGGAAGGGCGCCACGATGAGGATAGCTAAGAGAGCAAGGACGAGGTGGACACGAGAGGTTAAAGTAATGATAGGCGGTATTCGACGTGTGAAGGGGAAAGAAGGAGAGATGAAGTTGTCAGGTGATCTGAAGCTGCCCATGATTTGCGGGGACAGATATCTACACAGTCTTGGCAGTTGTTTTTACAAAGAGAACAAAGAGAAAGAATCAACAATGACCCAATGACTCCTATTAGTAGGCCTGTAGAATTGTAGGATTGTAGAATTGTAGAATTGTCTATAGATGGCTACAAACACAAATTTCTCAGGGCTAGATGATCTGTCATATATTATGACCTATAGGTCATTTCCAATAGTTAGCTATAGTCGTATGCACGTTGACAGAATCCACTATTTTCCCTATGCGCCTATAGAGGCCCCGGGCAAGTGACATCCATTGTACAGAAAGACAATGGCATTGGGAAGGATTGACATGTGAAGGCCAAGCGCCCCGCACTTTTGCAATTTCTTCAGGTACAGCCTAACCTCACGTCTACAAAGATTTCTTCAACAGAGTATATATCCATGGAAGGATGAAAATTCGTTTCTAATTCATGATTATCTATGAAAGTGCGTCACAGGTCGCTTTTGAAAGAAAGAAAGACGCCGACACCGACCCTACCCACAAATGCAAAACATGTCATAAAAGTTCAATCTAAGCCGCATCTGCAGTAGGGATCGGCTCGGGCATCTTAGTGACCTGTTGACCGGCCCGGATAATCCGCTGGCCTGTCTCATCACGCACATACTCAGAGTTCTCCTTCTGAGCACGCTTCCAGATCTCAACCTCACCACCGCCACGAATGACTCCAACACGCATGGTGGAAAGCAAGTTGTGAGCACCGTTGGAGTGGTAGTAAACACCACCGTTGAACATGGCAGTTGCGTCCTTGCCAAGGCCAGACTTGATCATCGCCTTACCACCGGGGTGGTCCTTGATGAAGTCGGTCACGTCGTGAACAACACCGGCGATGGAGATCAGACCACGACCGTTCTTGGCCTGCTCGACATAGTCATCCCACTCCATGACGGGAAGCTGATCGAGGGGAGTACCCCAATCGAGCTTGGCGCGCTTCTGGTCAATCTTCTTCTGCAGCTGCTGGACGCGGCCCTTCTCGATCTCGTTGGAGCGGAACTGCTTCAAGTCATAGGCGAGGCCGAGCTGCTTCCATGACCAGATGGTCCACTTGGTGGGGTCATACTGCTGCCACTCAATGGCGTTACGGTAATCCGAGGGGAACTCGTGGTGGAAGTTGTGGTATCCCTCGCCGAGAGTGACCAGGGCGGTGATGATGTGATCACGGGGAGAGTTGCGGTCGTCGAAGGGCTGGTCACCGAGCCAGTGGGCCAGCGAGTTGACACAGAAGGTAGCCTGTTGAACGAAGAAGATACGCAGAATACCTGCGTACACAAATCCGCCGTACCAGTCGCCCCAGCCAAGACCGGCGACGAGCATGGGGACGATAAGGCCCATACCGAGCACGACCTTGATATAGTTGCGGTGCTGCCAGACGACAACGGGATCTTCGTTCAGATCAGTGATGTCTGTGCGGCCAATACGCTTGGGGTTCTGCTTCATGACCATCCATCCCAGGTGGGAGTACAGCAAACCCTTACGGACGGAGTAAGGGTCCTTGTCGGTGTCGGTGTAACGGTGGTGAGCACGGTGGTCACGAGCCCACCAGCGGATGGAGCCTTCGACGGCACCGCCGCCGACCAGAGCGAGCCAGATACGCAGGGGCAAAGTGGCGGAATAGGAGCAGTGAGCCCAGAGACGATGGTATCCTGAATAATTGAGTCAGCTCATGTTCGGTGTTCAGGTTCAAAAATTCAGGACTACTTACCCGCTGTGATTCCCAGTCCAGTGAAGAAGTAGTAGATGACTGCCCAGATGGCGGTCTTCAACTGCAGAGGCACCCAGAAAGCCTGGATACAGCCGGAGATGGGAACGCCAATGATAAAGATGACATTCAACCAGTTGACGTGCTTGTACCAGTTCTGGCGAGTCAACTGGGTATCGGCAATGTGCACCTTCTTGGTGTCAGCCGCCCGAGGGCGTGAAGCATCGGGCTTGGACGACATGATGAGGATGTGGTAAAAGAGAACTTCAATCCAGGAGGACCAAAGGGTTTTTTTATACTTGGACCCACTTGGGACCAACGTTGGGGAGCCGGGGCACTGATCGCCAACGTAGATGGGGTAAATAGGGCTAAAAGACGAATCAAATGAAAGCAATCACAAGATCCCGAGGCAGAAAGACCAGAAGAAGAAGAGAATTGGCCTTATAAGCCTGTGCCAGTAGATTTTTGCGCTGTCCTTTGATCGGGAGTGGCGTGCCTCATCGCTTTCTGGCGAATGTTGGGTCCAGCCAGCCCCAACGCTTTGGTGCCTCAGGCAAAGATGGACCAATCAGCGCTCGATGGCAAATATGCTTAGGTCATCCAGCCCAGCACTGGGGTTCCACGGGTGGAGGTTAGTTCCATCGAGGGATATATTCAACCTCGGGATTTCTAGGGATAATTCTGTTTGATCCAATCATCTTTCGGATGAGAGGAGGCAATTAACATGTCGTACAGAGAGTGGTTAACACCCTTAGCGTTCCTTACAGGATGCATTTCCCGACCGACATTGGCCCGGGCCCTTCCGTGAATGGTCAGAAAACTGGACATCCATACAAGTGAAGTCATCGCACGCACAAGTACGGTGTACTCCATACAGAATGTGCGAGATACTGAAGGAATCTTAGTGATTCTTTCTAGGTTCATTCCTAGAAACCGGTATATCCTCAATACACGTGTCCAAGAGGTGAATGAATACGATGAAAATCGAATCCAGAGTAAAGTGTCATTATCCAAAAAACGAGAAATGATATGCGGAGATATCGATCATTGACTTTGACTTTAAGAAGACTGAACAGTTGAATGCCAGTGGGGATGGAGACTTTTCTGGAAGGCGGGATTACCGAGCCTCCAAAGTATATGTTACCTCCCGTCACCCTACGTGGAGGTATGACTACATGAGTCAAGAGTCAACCGAGACAATCACAACATATGATTCTATATGATCACGAATATCCCAGTATCTGCCTGATAAGGATGATGGACCTTGAGGTCGGAACCTTGAGATCGGAGTCTTCCACCTCCTTGTCCACGGCACCCTCCGGCTGTCAGATCTTAGATAAACAAGATAGCAGAGACCTGTAAGCTCTCGGGATGTACGTACAGTGACGATCCATAAGTTTCAGCACCCTCCTTGGCTACCGCTTTTCTAGATAGCCATACCGCCCCAAAATTGTAGCCTTTTGGTTGGTGGAATTAGAACTGGCAGAATAGGGGTGTTGAACCTTATGGATCGTCACTGCACATACTTACCTAGGAGACTGCCGGTATACTCCACCACCAATTGGGGGTTTTACATTGGCTCTATCTATCTCTGGATATCTATATGGATACACTACTCTGACAGTCTCGAAACACATACTATGGGGGAACTCGGGGACTCTCCAGTAAAACACCCATGGGGAACGCCTTATCTTTTCTCCACTAGGGGTCTCCCGTCATTGGCACTCTCTCAACTAGATAACGCGGGGACACTAACTAAATAGAGTTAAGCGACTAACTAACTAGCACGTTTATGCGATGCTCTTGCTAATCGTCCCCATTTGCACTTGCTAATGGCCTGGCGATTTGTCCGATAACAGAATTTTTCAGGTTGTCGCTCCCACGCAGGTGGGGACTCCCTTTTTAGTCATCCCGCGATTGAATTTTAGAGTTACCGAATATCGGGGTGTTTTTTTTTGGTTAAATATACACCAACGTCCTACATTGAATATCTCTATATTCATTATAACATTCAATATGGACGGTCCAGACCAGATCGGCCCCGATCATACGGCCAAGCGCACAATTGGCGACAAAGTGCGATATGCCGTCAAGACTTTTACCACAAGGTATGACTTCAAATACGCGTGTTATGGACCCTGACTCACAATCAACAGAGAAGGTTTACTAGGTGACTACGACTATGGATACCTCTTTATACCACGACTGCCCTTCACAAAGCGAGCTCGCAAATCTGCCCCGTTCTTCGGTCTCGATGACCGCGTCCCAGTCGTTCTCGCGTTGATTCTGGGTTTGCAGCATGCGCTGGCAATGTTGGCTGGTGGTGAGTTATAGACACACAGAATATGCAAGCAAAATCTAAAAGCATCAGTGATTTCGCCACCCATTTTGCTCGGCGGTTCAGGCGGTGCCCACTTTGGCGACGAGCTCTACCAGTACCTGGTTTCGACTTCATTGGTCGTCTCTGGCCTACTGAGTGCCGTTCAAATGTTCCGGTTACATATTAAGGGAACAAAATATTATATTGGAACTGGACTACTATCAGTCGTTGGTAGGAACTTCCCCTCCATACTTCAGAAACCCCGCTTCGGATGCTAATTGGTTCAAACAGGTACATCTTTCTCAACAATTACAGTCGCCCAGGGCGCCTTCTCCCAGATGTATAAATCGGGCTACTGTCCCACCCTCGAAGATGGAACTCAGCTCCCTTGTCCAAAAGGCTATGGCGCCCTCCTTGGCACCTCATGTCTCTGCTCCCTCCTTGAAATCGGCATGTCCTTCATGAGCAGCAAGATCCTCGCCCGCGTCTTCCCCCCACTCGTCACCGGCCCAACGGTTCTTCTGATCGGTGCTTCGCTCATCAAGTCCGCAATGCAGGACTGGGCCGGTGGCGCATCCTGTGGGTTTGACCCTTCCGCCCGCGCAATGTGTCCCAGCGCCAACGCCCCGCACCCTCTCCCCTGGGGAAGCCCCGAATTCATTGGGCTGGGATTCCTGGTCTTTGTCACAATTATTGTTTGCGAGCGATGGGGTCCTCCCATCCTCAAGAGTTGTTCCGTCATCGTTGGCCTTTTGGTTGGCTCGATCGTCGCTGCCGCGTGCAACTACTTCGATAATTCCGGTATCACTGCTGCGCCGGTGGCTTCATTCCCTTGGGTCCACACCTTCCCGCTGTCGGTATACCCTCCCCTCATCCTGCCGTTGCTCGCGCTATACATCGTTATTATGATGGAGTCTATTGGTGATATCACCGCGACATGTGATGTCTCCCGGCTCCAGGTCGAGGGTGGTACCTTCGATTCCCGGATCCAAGGTGGTGTTTTGGGTAACGGTATTACCTGTCTCTTGGCTGGCTTGATGACCATTAGCCCCATGTCCGTCTTCGCGCAGAACAACGGTGTGATTGCGCTGACAAAATGCGCTAACCGCACCGCCGGATACTGCTGCTGCCTCTTCTTGGTTATCATGGGAATTTTCTCCAAGTTCGCCGCTGCGCTGGTTGCAATCCCCAGCCCCGTCCTTGGTGGCATGACCGCTTTCCTCTTCAGTTCGGTGGCAGTCAGTGGTCTGCGCATCATTGGGTCTGTCGACCCCACCCGTCGCAACCGATTCATCCTCACGGCTAGTTTCTCCATTGGAATGGGTGTCACACTCCTGCCGGAATGGTTCAGCTACTTCTTCACCTACAAGGGTGACAACCATGCCCTCGAAGGCCTGATCAATGCTGTCGATCTTGTCATGGAGAACGGGTTCGCTATCTGTGCACTTCTCGGCATCTTCCTTAACCTCTTCATTCCTGATGAGCCCGATGAGCTTCCTGCCATCTTTGAGTCGACCGAGTCGGATGATGATCGTGTACAATCCAGCATTCCCGAGCAGTCGGAGCCTATTAAGACCGCTTGATCTTGGGTGTATAGTTCTGTCATATATGGAGTTTGTGTGGGGCTAGACTTGCCCTTAGCGTTGTTTTTAATACCTATGCTGCAATCTTATGTCGATATTCCCTGATATTTTCCTGCTCTCTCTACGAATGAGGTCCAGCAGCTCCTCGGTGGATTCCACGGGGAACCACCATGAATAATAACAACAGCGAACAAGCTATAATTCCTCTTCAACTCGGTTCATTCTCTTGTAATCTTGTCATCTTTTATTCTCTCTTTGCTATGTCAAGAAGAAATCCACGACTTAGCAACCGGACGAGGCTGCTCATTACCACTAGCCGTAGTGCTATCAAACTCCAAGCAATCCTTCTCCAACTCCCCCACATCACAATGCACAAACCCTTCATCAACAAGTATTTGCAGTCCAGTGAGTATCCACACCCGACACGTGATCCCAGGAATCGAATTAAGGGACTCATCATAGCTCCTCATAATCTCATCCATACGCGCATGCGCCGATGGAGGAATCGCTGCGATCTGAATTATCACGCATAAGAAATTCTCTGTAAACATCCCCGCTGTAGCCTCGTGTCCGGCAATTCACCCGCCGCCGATGTTTGAATATAGAAAACTCCGTAGTTATAGAGTATCTAGTTAACTAGTTAACTAGTTAACTAACTAGATGCTTTATAACTAGGCTGGGGTCCTCCAGGGCTAACATAAGACTCTTTTAGTTTTGCCCACCCAAACACATAGAAAGTAGAACAACTAACAGATGGTCTACCCACTAGAGATTCATGATAAGGAGCTCCTTCCGAGGTTGGATCCTAGCTGTCCGAATTAAGAAATATTGGTGCCTGAAACTTCCCCAGTTTTTGCCTGAAGATCATGGCAGCTCGTTTTAACTAGTTAATTGATCTAATTCTTAATCATGTACTGATGATACACACACCATTTTTGTCTTGTCTATACCCCCTCAACCTTCTCCCTAGGAGCCAGCATTTTAATATACTGGTGTACCCCAGTCTCAAGCACCTCCACAGAATCCCCAACCCTAACCACAAACTCCTCCTTCGCAGGAACAAGCTGCATCCCCAAACATGCATTAGTCCGATCTCCATCATCAATCCGCCGGTATGATTTCAGCGTCCGATCCGGCTCAGCCTTATGTCTATCCCCAGAAAGAGGATCAACATTGGGTAGTCGGCACCGAACAGTCCGACAAGAAGCGTGGATCTCCGTGCCGCCAATAGCAAGTCGCTTCCAGTGATCTTCCTCAAAAGCAGACGGGCCTTGAATAATGATGTTCGCGCGGAAGCGCCGGATGCTCAGTCGTGGAATGGCGTAGGCGCAGCGTGCTGCTACGTCCCGGTGACTGGAGATATTGAGTAGGTGGATTGGATACGCATCTGCGAAGGCTGTGTTTGGTTGGAAGCCAATGTCTGCTTCGCGCGGTGCGTTGCGGAAGATCTGCCGCGAATGAGGTGCGCTGGCGCGGAAGAGAGTCAGGGTATTTTTTGATGGGTCGGACCCTAGATATGCGTGTAATGACTTTGGGAGCAGTCTGCCGTAGTCATAAGCTAGAGGCTTGTCTTTCCAGATCTTGACTGGGACCAGTGGGAACTTGGAGTCTGCAGATGGAAGCAGGGGGACTTGGAATGTCTGCTGGCTTTGGAGTAACTTCAGTGTCATGCCGACCTTAATGGGTAAGCCCTTCCATCCTGCTGGCGGCATTCGTGGATACGATATCAGCATCACGCCCTGCGACTTGACTTCTGGTAGGTCTGCGTCATAATTTGGGGTAGACGGGTCAGGAACCCAGATCTCGGGATGGATCAAAGCTAGGCGATTGAAGCCGGCATTGCGTAAGGTGCGAATGTTCCACTCATCATTGTTATACTCCGCAAAGACGAATTGTCGATCGAATTCAAGTCCGGTTGGTACGACATTCGAGACTTGCAGCTCGACCGCACCACAGGATTTGAGTGGGTAACTGAACAGTGCTTTCACACGCCAGGATGGGCGACCGTGATTATCTTGATGGCTGGGTAGACCATGGCTGTACTTTGAGTCGAATTCATCGTCCAGGTTGCTCTGCCCTGGTGGAAGTCCCAGGCGGCGACATCCTTTCGGATTAATCGGTGCATTCAGTGTCTTTAGTGTTCTCAGAAGAAAAAACACAGATAGAAGGAGTACGATCATCAAAATTGGGAGAACCCCCCGAGGGAAATGTCGACATTGGACATTGGGAGTATGCAGCACTCGAGATCGATCGAGGGAAAAAAATTCCCGATTCCCGATTTCGGATCTCTGAACCGTCAACAATCCAACTGCCCCTGCTTATGATGGCATTTTTATTGTCATTTTTAGAATGAGATTGAACGCATTAGAGCTTGAATTCATTTCCTATTCTTCTACTTGGCTTTGAAGTGGCTTTGCTGCCAGCCATCCTGATGCGCCCATGAGCACCAACATGGACCTTCTCGGTCTCGACGGTCTCGAAGGGTTCGACGATGAAGACACGCGTAAGTAATTTCTCCAACTGCCTTAGAAAAGCATCAGACATTAAACTATGCCCAGTGCCCGTGGTCTCGATCTCAGCATCGCAGTCCCTCAACGCGTCGGCCGCCACCCGCGACCCGATCGCGACGGGTCTGGCGCGTCTGGACGAAGTTCTAAATGACCTCCCAGACCAGCCCAATCAAGGTGGAATTCTGCGTGGACATGTTACAGAAATATTCGGACCCCCAGGAGCCGGGAAGACATCGCTGGCGTGAGTGTGCCCCCCATATCCACACCGCCAGAGTTCGATCTGATCCATCTCCAGGTTGAGTATTGCATGTAATGCACTACGTGACGGCAAAGTAGTCTGGATTGGTATGTCCATGCCAGTTCCCCGAGTCAGCTGTGCTGTCCTAATCACACCGTTAGATACGGGATGCCCCTTGCCCAGTCCCCGACTCGAGGAAATATCCGTCAACCTCGATGACTTTATCTATTTCCGGGCGCATACGCTGCCCCATCTTATAGCCCTGCTTGCACGTCCACCAAAAGGGTTTCCGCCATCGGAAACGAATCTTATTGTTGTCGATTCTGTGTCGAATTTATTCCCAGCTTACTTCCCCAGCGCCCAAGAGCTCAAGGACCAACTCGCCGAGGGTAAAATCACTGATAAAGCACACCTGCAGTGGCTGCTGAATCGCAAGTGGAACGTTGCTAGCGAGCTAGCCACGCATCTGGCCAAACTCGCCGCGAGAAATATCGCCGTGTTGGCAATTAACCAATCCCATACAAAGATCAAGGGTCAGTCTCATGCGGCTTTGCAGCCGCTCTTGTCAGGCAGTGCGTGGGAAGCCAGCATACAGACTCGCATTGCAGTCTATCGTGACCTGCCGGATGAGCGAGTCGCGGAGGTCGAGAAGCGTGCGGGTAAGCCATTGCCCGAGCAAGCCGAGGGGCTGCTCGTTGCGTTTCGCATTGAACCGGTATGTCAAAGTCTCTGGCCTGTTGCATGCGATTGTGCTTCTAATTTGTCTAGGATGGTCTTTATGAAATAGAGAGAAAGGAGTCTCTCACCTCCGACCCTTTGACTCCCCTGCCGAAGTCTCCTCCCGACTTTGAGTACTATGATCCTCCTACTCCAACCCCTTCGCCTATATCCTCTGTGCTGTCTTCTGCACCACCATCTCCGGAAATGGAGTCTCCAAAACTGTCGCCATCTAAGCCGGCGTCACCAGCACGGCCTGCGCAGATACCTAATAAGAAACGGAAGGTAGAGGAGGTAGCCGACAGCCAGGATGAAGACTCTGAGGAAGATGTCCCATGGATAGGCGAGACAACCCTGAACACGAATTAATTGTGAACTCAAATATTTAACAATTTCCCTAGCCTTTAAACATCATAAGGTGATAGTAGGAAATACTTGTCTTTTTGTTTTCGTATCTTTGTTGGATATCTCTTTCAATAGGATCTACATGTATCTATTTTTGGGATTTGTTCTATAGACGCACAAAGATAGAAATAAACAAAATCTTGCCTTCCAATTCCCACATGCTTAGCATTAAAGATTAAAACGGAGTAATTAATATCGGACTTGGCCCCCAACTCCGATGCCGGATGTTGAATTTATCCCCATTATCCCCAAGGGTTACCCCAGACTCTGCCCCTGGAGTGAACACCTGAACACCTGAACACCCTATGCACATCCTGTCAATACAGTTCTTTCGTTTGTTTTCTCTGTCAGACAAGTCTAAAATTCGATCTGCACAAGCATTGACACTTTCCGGTCTTGTACGACCAGTCTATATCCCACGCTACATTCGAATATTTTCGCCCGTTTTTTTGCCTGTTTCTTCTTTCATTTCCCCAACAAAAATTCTTTCATACCCCGTTTGTCCATAGGAATATGTGGACATACCAAACAGGGTGAACTAGACTCCCTGCTCGAGTCCGGTTGCTCATATAACTACTCTCTTAAGCCCGAATGAGTCTCTTCTTCGACCATGTCCAACGTTCCCCAGGACATGCTGGATGGGATATCTGGTGCCCTCGCGAAAGAGGGTGATGTGTTACAGTTGATCCTCGTCGCTTTCATCGGTCTATCATGCTACAATGTCGCTGAGCTAGTTGTACTCGTCCCAGCCACATTCCGCAGGTGGCGTGGGCTCTATTTCTGGTCCCTGCTGGTCACGGGAGTGCTCGGTGTCGTACCATACTCAATTGGCTTCTTGATGAAGTTCTTTACACACACTGACTCCGTGTTGTCGGTCACTGTCCTGACCATCGGCTGGTGGACTATGGTTACTGGCCAATCTGTGGTGCTGTACTCACGACTCCACCTTGTGCTACGAGATGAGCGCATGTTGCGCCGTGTACTGCACCTCATCGTCGCAAATGTCATTCTTCTGCATGTGCCCACAACGATCCTCACTTACGGCGCGAACATAGTCCACAGCGGCGACGCCGCCTGGGTGAATGGGTACAACATCATGGAGAAAATCCAGCTGACCGGGTTCACGATCCAAGAGAGTCTGTTGTCAACGCTGTATGTGATTGAGACGGTTAAGCTTCTCCGTCTTGGGGCAGATGTGACTTCGCGCCCGGATGCCCGGATCATCATGTACCAGCTGATCGGGATCAACTGCGCGATCATAGCCATGGATGTGCTGCTTCTGGGTCTGGAATACGCCAATTTTTACGCCGTGCAAATCACCCTAAAGGGATTTGTGTACTCGCTCAAACTTAAACTCGAGTTTGCTGTGCTTGGTCGTCTGGTAGATCTCATCCAGGGGTCCAGACACCCCATTTCTATCGCGATTGCCGATACATTGCCTCTTTGCTCGATACAGAGGCCGCCTGAGACGCCAGATCAAAGCGAGGATACGCCTTATAATCAGGCTGAGCCGAAGGACTTTTTGTCTCCGCCGGACGGTGGCCGAGTTATTCAGAGGAGGATGCTGGTGGAGACTGGGAGGGCGTCTTCATTAGCAACATGACGGCATACAATATAAGTAGGGATAATATTGAAGCTTGGAATTGGATTTTTGGAGTGTTCCAGTCCTACAGAACAGCCCGTGTAAGACGATTGTAAATGAAAATAAATTCGAAACCAGGGGTGGCTCGGACCATCTTGTGGCGGAAGGGTCCTGATTTAGCCATTAAGATATAGGTGACATGAAATAGACCATTAGGCAGGTAGCCGTCTGTGGGTGGCCATGCGATTTGTAATGGGAAAATGTCAATACCAGACAAAGAGGAAATGTTTCATTCGAGACTACATGAATTATGTGTTCTCGTTCATAGATTGGTCAGGTAATCCTCGATCTGCTCCTTAGTCAACTTGCGGAATCGGGGTCCCTGAGCACCCTCCACTCCTTCGAAGCCCAGCAGGTGGTCCGCTGGGGGGCCGACAATGCCTGGAACGGAATTAGTGAATGTTCACCAGGCTCTTGGATAGCCAAGCAGCCAGAATGAGAGGAAACGAGGTAGAACCCTAAAAACTTACCAATTTCTATTGTGTCACCATTCATCTCACCCTCAATAGTTTCCTTGAGTGTCAACAGCGCAATGTGGATGGCATCTTCCAATTCTAGTCCTTCAGTGTACCGCTTCTCGAGGAAGGTCTTGGCGCTCGTTGCGTGTTTGCCAATGGCCGTCGCCTTCCATGGGTAGTAGCTGCCACTGGGGTCGACCTGGTACAGACTGGGCCCACCCTTCTGGATACCACCAGTCTTGCTGGAGGTCTTCTCCTCGGGGTCATCCTTCTTAGCCTCTTCAGACTCGGGCTCAACGCCCTCGTCCCAGCCTGCGACCAACAGACTGACACCATAAGGCCGCACACCACCGGATTGCGTAGCTTCTTGCACTACTCGGGCAACGTCCTGAACCAATATACGGGTAGGTGGGTATTCGTTGTAGATGCGCTTGTAGCCTGTGTGCGAGACTTTGCGGGCCTTGTCGACCAGCACCCGGTAATCGGGGCCCATGCCGGCGTAGACCATACCAATATCCGGCGTGATCAGGGATATCTTGGATAGGGAGGGAGGGTCGATCAGAGGCGAGGAGGACTTCTTCTCAGTTGCGAGCACAATGCCGTTCGTAGCTATCACGGGGCGGTCAGCTTGGCCCCATGTGGGAGAACTTGGTCATCTGCGTACCTTTGATACCAAGAGCAGTCACACCCTGGTTGACGGCATTCAAGGCATATTCTATATTGATCAGTCATCGATGCCTGAGCTTAAAGGCGATGGTCCATACCAATTTGCACCAGCTTTCCGCTGTAATGGAGCTGAGTTAGCATGTTGTCAATTCGACAGGACCAAGTTGTCCTTACCTGGGGGAGAATGTAGTCAAGGAGAATGAATATCGGTCCGCCATGGTTCGCTGTCAAGAGGAAGAGAAGAGGAGAGGATGGTAAGATCAAAGGAAGGGGAGCTGTGTTGTAGGCAGAGATGGGTGACGTTTGGCGCGGTAGAGCTCACGAAAGGCGGTGACCCGATCGGGATTAGCCGTGGGGTTTGGGACACCTTCGGGCTTTTCTGCTTTTCTTGTCGTTCTCTCTTTTTTTACACTCCCAAAAAAAGGAAACAGTAATTTTCTCTCGACCTTCTTTTGTCAAGGTTCGAGCAAATCTCGATGTGAGACTAAATGGCAGACACACAGCATTACCCTCCACGGGTCTGTCGCATCTGTTTGGAAAGCGTGCTGCCTACTTTCCAACCCTCGGAATTCCTCCAGAAGCCTCGAGTGGTTTATGAATCTTCCGATCCAGAATCTGGCCGTCTGTTAAGTCCTTGTCAATGCAAAGGTTCCTCGCGTTATGTTCACGAGGGCTGCCTGCAGTCATGGCGCCATGCCGACCCCAAATTTGGGACGAGAAACTTCTGGCAATGTCCCACATGTGGCTTCCAGTATCGCCTGGAGCGTCTGACTTGGGCTCGGTGGATCAGTAGCGTCACCACCCAGCTAATCCTCACACTCGGCATTCTTTTGTTAACCGTATTCCTGCTTGGATTCATTGCTGACCCCATCATTGATTTTTACCTGGGCCCCGTGGATGCTTACGCCGAATTGGTCGAGGAAGATGCCACCTGGTTGGGACACTTCGTCAAAGGACTCGCGTCTTTGGGCTTGTTGTCGTTCCTCAAGGCAATATTTGCACTGTCGCCTTTTCATTGGAACCTCCGGTCTGTCGCAGCAGGGCGGAATTCGGGCCGTAACCGGGCCGCCCAGTTGAACTGGCTAGTGGTCATGGTTGGCATCGGTACTTTCCTTTGGGTATGTGTGGTCGCATTTGACTAAATATGACTTGGCGCTAACCGCAGATAGGCGGTCTACAAGGGTGTTCGGTCATGGAGTAGACGAACGCTAGAAAAGGCCGGCGAACGGGTGATGGATGTCCCATTACCAGATGATGAGAATGAGGACGTCCCAGTACCGGAAGGAATGAAGGAAGAGTAGTTCAAACAATGAACTCGCACTACTTAAGTTGCCGTCCTCCTCTGCCCCATGAGACGTCGATTAGTCAATGTGCGAAGAACAATAACTGCCTTCGATAACTCTTGATTGTCTGCCCGAGAAGTAGATGATTGGCTCGAGAACGTCTTGTTCTCAATTCATTCGCTGCTTCACCAAATCGGGCAGCGTTCTTGGGGAAGGCAGTCCACCACTCAATTGTAAAGAAGCGTTCTGACCCTTATGAGTCTGACTTGTTAGCGCTTTTGGATTGAGCAGCGGTAAATTCATGTATCATATGTCCTATTCAGTCTTATTCCTCCATTCAGTCTTATTGTCACATTGCCACATTCTCATTATCCTTTTTCTATTGTCACGCGCGTCTCTTCAATAACCTCAATTCATTATCATGGCAGACTATCTCTTAAGAACCCCTCGCCTTTCTCTCTCTCTCTTCCCCCCTCTTCTTATTCTTTACCTTCCTCTTCTTCCTCTCATGTAATTCAACATTCTGATCTAAGCAAAATGGACGATCCCCCACCAGGATCCCGTCTTGCGGTTGTCCGCTCTCAAATCGCGATCGACTCCGACTCTAGATCGGATGAGTCTAGATCCACCACTTCTACCAACGACACAGCCAACACAGACACCGAGCCATTCCCTGAGTATGACGAGTCCGAGTGTGAGATGCTTGGATCTTCCCTCGCAGCTGAGAAGCCCCTCGAGGAAGCATGGATCTCCGCTCTCGGCAGAGCCACCCAGCAAGAGATCCGCATGCTCCATGTCGATCCTAACATTGTTCCTTACTGCAAAAGCGAACCATCTCAGCGTAGCCAGGTCGTCCTCGGAAAGCTGCAAGATCTCCTCTCCGAACCGCAATTGGGTCCTGAGATCCGCGAGCAATTTATCGCTATCATCAACGCTACCCTTAAAGTCAACCTCGTCATTTTCCACCAGAGTCCAGAGTTTCTAGGCCTCCGAGAGATGAAAGACGCAAGACGTCCTCTCGACACTATCATCAAGCACGTCCAATTCATAGAAGACATGCTTAAATGGCAGCTCCAGACTGCCGAAAAGGTCTCTTACGTCCTGGAGGATGTCTCCATGGAGCCTATCCTTCCCTACGAGCGGCTTCGCAAAATGGCGACTATGGTCGCTCAGTAAGTATCAGTGCCCATGTTTCTGGTCTACCCTCTGCTTCAGCACTAATGCTCAATGAGCAGGAATATGAAGAAGCCCCGCTACCTCGAACGACGACTACTTGCTTTGTACATGGATATGTACGAGGAATGGGTCCATACTCCTTTCCTTCGTTTGCGCAAGCCTCAACTCCTGGACGAGCAGTTCCCAAACTTCCCACGCACAAAGTTTTCTCGTCATGTCCTTGTTGTCTGGGGGCGATCCACCGCTGCATCGAAATTTACGGTACCTTGACCCGGGTCACTCTTGAAATCAAACGACAATACTTTGCGCCAACGATGGGCTATCTTTGTGACTCGCCAGAGATCTGGAAGCAATGCTGGAAACAATACCAGGAATTCGAGAAGGATCAGCACGAGTCAGCCGAGCAGGGTTTCTCTGAATGCGCCCTGAACTGAACGATGGAAGAACTACCGGACCACCGCATGGAATGTCTTCTCCATATCTATGATTTTACGATCTCACCACCTATCTTTAATGTTTCAAATACCCCAGATGCAATGTTTCGAATATCAGCGCAAACGCATAGCGAAATTCAATGTGAAAAGTTCCATTTCAACCTATCTCCCTGTAAACTCAAGCCGTACTATCTTTATAATCCCCAAGTTTAAACAACTTCTTGGCATTCTCCCTTCCAATCTTCAACCGATCTGTATTCGACATCTCCGCCGAATCAAACCACTCGCACGCATCCCCAAACGTCTCAAACGGATAATCAATCGAGAACAAAATGCGATCAGCCCCAACCTCCGCCATACAAAAGTTCAATGTAGTAGTCGAGAAATGCCCCGACGTCGTGATCCACAAATTATCCGCAAAGTACTCCCGAATCGTCCGCTTACACGTCTCCGCAAGTCCAAGCATCTTCTTCCGATCCTCGAACCAGTGGTTAATCCGCCACATATCAAATGGTATATGCTCCCCCAAATGGCCAAGTATCACCTGCAGTTTCGGGTTCCGATCAAATACCCCGTTCGTCACCATACCCAGAACGTGAAGACTGACACCGTGTGCGAATGACAGCGGTGGTCCAATCAGCCATTTCCGATCCGCCCAGAGCTTCTCGTAGATCGTGCCTGTCGGGTTACGAGGGTGTAGGTACAGCGGCACATCGAGCTCAGTGCATGTAGCCCAGAATACGTCCCATTTCTCGTTGTCGTAGAAGATCATGTCGTCACCGTCTGCGCCGGCACGTTGTGTGTCGTTCACGAGTGCTCCCAGGAATCCGTGCTGTGTTACACAGCGGCGGAGCTCGTCTGCTGCTTCTTGTGGGTCGTGCATGGAGAGCGTGCTGGGGTGAGTTAGCTGGATGTATACATATCGGCCATGGATGTATTGATGCAACTTACGCAAATGCAGCAAATCGATCTGGGTGCGCTTTCACTTTCTCTGCGATGTAATCGTTGATCTCAACGGCGAGGGCTTGCGCGTCCTTTGCATCCCAGATATCTTGTACACCAGGTGCTGTGTAGCTGAGGATCTGGAGACCGACGCCGTGGCGCTCGGCGAAGTCGAGTCGGATTGGTCCAACGTCATTGATCTCTGCTGTGTGCTTCTCTGTGTCGGTCGCAAACATGCCTGCCCACCATTTTGTCTTTTCATGGAATCGGGGGAGCGCAAAAGCTTCTTCGAGGGCGATTTTTCCGAGCATTTTGGTCTTTGGAAGTGATGAAAGGCTGTTAACAATCTCATAGATGATTCTCTGTTTTATAGTGTATGCGGGGACCCCGCACTTCGGAAGCGCTCAGGCATTCCAAGGCACATTACATTGAATCATTGACTGTCGGAAGGTCGGATGTTAAAGAAAGCATCCGATGGCGGTTCGCTGTCGGGGCGGATGCGGGCGGTTGGCAGCGGAGATGAGTGTATTGGTTTCCGTAAGTCTAGTCACAGATCGCAATCCAATCTAATTTCGTTTGAATTCCAGGTAGCCATGCGCCTGGATTTTGGTTCCCCGGATTTGGTTCCTGATGGGATATGGAGAAGTGGGCTCTTTGGAAGGATGTATTGCGAGCAGGGATAAACTGTTCTTGTAGTCATTGTGTATTGTAGGGAGAAAACAGATAGGCTTAAATTAAAACAGTCTAATGATAAGTAGAAATAATTTGATTCATTCAGACGCTAATAAATATGGTAGCATCGGCTCTGAGAAAAGAAATCAAAAGCATAACCCGTTTCCCTGCGAATTTCCTACTTTGCAACAAACTTGATTCCGCATTTCTCCTGTGGTTGACAAGTAGCAGAGTCATTCCAGTCAGGAAGAGGAAGACGATTCATCTGTTTGCCCTGCCCATCAACCATCGTAATATCAAACCGCATCAAAGCTTGAACAACCACCAGTTTCAAGGTCAACGTAGCAAGTCGCTGGCCTTTGCAAGCGTGTTTCCCCCCACCCCAGCCAATAAACGGTGTTTCTTTGCCAATCACCCGAGACGGATTCCAGCGAGTTGAGTCAGTGTAGTACTTTGACTTGAGTGCTGTATCCGAAAATGGATATACAACGAGGAATCCGGTGGGGATAACGTATGGGCCGACGGTAATATCTGGACCGGTGTTCTTTCGCACTGCTGTATATGGCTGTGAGGTCCGCAATGTTTCACGTATACAGAGGTCGAGATTAGGTGTTTGGGATTCCCAAGCTGTGAGTGGGATTTCCGAGAGGGCTTGGGTGAGGGCGTCCCCAGAGAGAGAGGCGGATGGGGATGTGTGAGTGGATATAAAGGTCTTAATCTCCTCTTGCACATTCGAAGACCAAGTTGGGTCCGAGGAGATGTGCATGATCAGCCATGTAACTAGATACCGTCAGTGTGATTATATTTGGCAATACCGAATCTCCAACTTACCAATTGTTCCAGTAGCACGAGCTCCAGCTAACGATAGCCCTAGCATGCACTTCAGAGAGAGTCAGATTCCCGCTCAAGATAGTTGAATTGAAAAGTGGCAAGAATACGGACCCCAAAGATTCGAATCGTGCTATCTCCATCATCAAGCATCTGCTGCAGCATATCGTCCTTGACCCCGCTCCTCTTCCTGGCGTTGATTCCCGCTTGCACAATTCTGTAAATTTGAACAGAAGCAAAGAACTTGCGGAACAAGGCCGGGCCAGGTAGCCAAGGGAGCCAAGTGGAGTATGGGTTAGTGAAAGAGTCGACAGTGTCGACAAGTGACTTGAGACGCGCTGAAAGCACCGGATCATTGGCAATATCAAAGGAAGCAATGCGCATGACCAGTTGAAAAGTGACCTAGGGAGAAAAATAAGATGCCTCAGTTTCCCATCGACTCAACATAGAACACAGGCCCACGCACCTCGTGAAGGGAAGAACAGGGGTCGAGAATACGCTCGCTGCCCCATTCGTCCATCTTGCGCTGGCATTCCGACAAGATCAATGGAAGCACTGTATGTGTGTTAGTGAATATTTTCCTTCATCACAAACGGTAAACTCACATTTCTGGAGGTTCTCAGGTCGTTGAATCGAAGCCATTCGTCGGACTACGCCGTCGACTTGGTGAGGGTCAAATTGAGCAGCGCTCTAATGCGAGAATTAGTTATTACCGAGAACAGAATCAATCGTCAAGGAACTTACACTGCCCATCATGATTGAAAACGTATCATATAAGCAGAGACCTTTCTCCTTGAAGAAGATCTGTCGACCTTCATCCCCTGACAGAACAATGGCGTTATGTCGGAATAGCCTGGTCTGGTAGATGGCTGACGAGGTAGCCCTGAAGCCATCTTTGATGAAATCAAATCTCTTCTCAAAGAAGAATTGGGAGACCTTCCAGCTTGGCAGTTGCAAGCTCGGAGGGGAATGACCTTTTCGGGGGGAAGCTGTCACCGGCACATATAGTACTTTGAAAAGTAAAGCAGAAAGTAGAAGAATCACCGAGGCCAAGCCGCCCAGATCTCGAAGAGTATCTGACGAGTCATTGCATGAAGTAAGTACCAGCCGAGTCAGAGTGCTCTGCAGCATTGTGAAGTGTGTCAGATGTAGAATTGCAAGTGAACAGGATAGTTCCTAGGAAGTCTTTATACCCCGAAAGAATAGCCCCCGACATGGCAAAGCATACACTCCTGCCGAAGATCAATTCTACCGAACCAAAGGGCCAAGTCTCCGTTGCTCCTTCCATTTGGCCTAATGCCCGGGTTTCAGCCAGATCGAGTCGCCATTCCTTCCAGGGCCCCACGGAAACTACCCTATCCCGCAAGTCTTACTCTAGAATTGACTCCTTGAAGCCGCTGTTGGATTTTTGTCTTGCATGTCAGCATTAGCATGCATACTGGACTAAGGCGGGCCGTTGCCGCCAAATCAAAATTGAGGCTTATACGATTTATTTTTGTCCATAGAGGTGTGGTTACTTTATTCAGGGTTCAGGGTCAAGACCTCATTAGGTTAGCTCAGGCATCCAGAGCTTTCAAAAAACAAATTGGATCTCACCTGAGATTTTCAGTTCTTCCCGTTCGGTTTGTTCTAATATTACTAGATCCTGAAATAGATACCTCTTGGAGAGCCAATTACGTTGTGTCCCTACAAATTCACGGAAACCGTGTACGCATTAGGACTGTCTCATAGGAATTGTGGGGATTACAAGGCTGAGTGATGGAATGCCAGGTTTTGCCTTAGTAGTTCAGGCAAGATATGCGGACATTATTTTCTCTAAGATGCATTATTCTTGACTCTTTTCCTAATTAGGGCTCTCCGACAGCCAGTGATTCCGGGAAACACCCAAAGCCGTGACCCACGTCCAATTCACATCTGATGCCTTTTGGCGTAAGAAGAGTGATCGATTTTACAATAGAACAATATCTTACATACGAACTACTCTGACCATGTCGATCCGTGTATGTCTGACTCATCTTTTGTGGCTTGACTCGTATAGGATCTGGGCTTCTTTCTTAACCTTGGAATCATCACCTAGGCTTAGAACGGCAGCTTCGCTTAACTTTTTGGATTGTATTTGCCAATTATTTTCTGTGGCTGGTGACAATGTCATTCTCGAAGCTGACGCAATTGGCTATATTGTTAGTTTGCATATAAGCGTAGCCAATCTATGTAAGCGCTGTTGGAAACGCCACAATGCACCTCGGATCGATCTTATGAGGGTTTGCATGCTGACGAACCTATAAGACGAACCATATGCTGATCCTTCAGGGAAAATGTAGAAACTAGAATGGTCAAAGACGTCCAATCGGAGAGAAACAGGAAGAGAACTCCAAATTCTTACATGGGAATTGTTGAAACACATTTATTCTCATACATGTCAATCCGATCAGATGAACCCACTTCGCTTACAAACTGCATATGTACCGGATAATGCCTGGGACTCGAGACCTTTCCATTTGAGTGCTCACCTCTTGCCGCTTTTTGATCACTAAGTAAAACTGAGCACGTCCCTGAGTATTCTGACTTGATCACGTGCCATTCCATAATCAACGTGATCGACTCACTAAGCACCCTGATCCACTCTTCCCGAAACCCGACCCATTTGCGGGTTTTAGCGCAGTCTCCTTCTTTCTACAGCCATTCTTCAAGAATCTACATAGCACTTTGACAATCACTCCACGATTATTGCAGCAAAGATTGTGTCATCGAAGAAGCTACCTAAGAGAACTAACAGAGGTACAGAGGTAATAATAAGCTAGAAGTCTTGCTCCCCCCACACGTGTTTTGAGATCCGTCCCAATCGATCAGGTGATAGTTCAATGTTGTGTTCAGGCGGGACTGGTTGATGACAAAACAATTCTTCAAACCCAATGGTCAAAGGTACTGCTGGCCTGATGGTAATCTGTGAGTTGGGTTTGTGTGCGTCGCGGGATGCCGTAATGGTCTGCCGTGTCATTGGGACGTAGCGCAGCCGCAAGAAGTTGACGGTCGGGTCCAAAGCAACAGTCTCGAACTTGATGTTGGGGGTCTTTCGACTGATGGACACGATAATTACAAGCTTCATATCGCCCCTCGAGTTCGTGAGCCACCATTCTGCATCTGCCCGCAGCTTTCGATGACTCTGATACTCCCACTTCGACCACAACGGTCGGCCATTTTAGATTGCGACCTGGAACAGGTTGCGCAGGACCATACGCTTCGTCGGCCTCCTTTCTAGAAAACACACCTTGGATGGGTTTGTACCCTAACTGGCGGATCGACCCGTCCAGCCCCATATTGTATATCTCATTTTGCACTGCACCACCCAGGCCGCGTGAAGCTGTTTCGTGGGCCCCAGCTAAGAGCTTGATGATCATATATCGAGTGCTGCGATTGAACCATCTGCCGAGTATTGCGCAAAGAAAACTTGTCCGCAATAGCTGGTGGGACGTTTGTGAAACGTATATATTTCACCACGTCGGTTGTTTCTTTGTTTTCTCTGATAATCTTCCGGATGGCGCTCTCCGTCGGGCAGCGCCTCGTAGTACTCGACGTCTGAGTGCTCGACTTCTGGGGAGTCCGAGTCATTAGAATTTCTGATTGTCTGGTCTTTTGAGGCCAACGGTGCAGACATTCCGGCGTCCGAAACTATATGGTCTTAGTAAGTTTCGGATAAGGTTTGTAGTAATGAGTCAGCCTTACCTTGTCAATCGGATGAAACTTGAGAATGATCGGCACACTGTGCCAGTTGGCAAGAGACAGTGGCGGTAGCAATGGTTCTCGTTCTCGTTGACAATGAAGAGAGCGAGAACAGGTGATTGAATGAAGAGAATGAGAAGAGTGAAAGAAGAGATGAGAGTGAAGGGAGAAAATAAGGGAAAGAAAGGTCTGATGAGGAAGGTTGTGTAGGTGACATTTCCTGCCTAGTGAAATAAGAAAGGAGCAGAGGGGACTCTAGGAGATACCGCTTCTCGGAGATGCTACTCCTTAGTACAACATAATCTGATTTATTTAGCTTAAGATGATACAAGGGCATGACTGTAAGGTGAATGTACGACAACGACACAAAATGTCCACCGACAAGCGCTTAGTATAGCAAATTATTTAAATAGCACTTAGCTTCAGACGTCGACACACCCGGACAACGCATCACAGAAGTGTGCCAAAAGAAATAAACATAAGCAAATTAAGCCCCAACTCCATATCACCAAATAAGACATGAATCCCTCCTGACGAGCACCACCAAGACCTAGAATATTCGTTAGCTTGTGTAAAGACATCATACTCAACCCAAGAGACTCACTAGCAACAAATGCCACCAAGTACGCGTAGCCGCGCCATCAATCCAGCTGTAGTCGAAGTTTGGCTGGGCGAAAAATTCCCACGTCGATTCGTGGGGCAGACATGCCATCTTCTCAAAGTATTTATAAATTACCCATCTAGTGTCCGGTGCACACAAATGATTTTATTTGGCTTGATCGAACGGTGGCATATTAGGACTGGGAGACCAAGCTCTGCTTTTGTTACTTACTTGATGTGCTTTTTGCTACCGCATGGATTTTGAAGCCCTCCCTAAAGTCTAGCTTGAAATCTAAGGGCTCCGTAGAAAAAGCCTGACACCCACATGATATGACGCCTAAACTTCTATGATCGATCGCCCAGTGAATCGACGGGGTTTCTCCAAAGTTGATGCCACCGAAAAAGCTCTGAAGATAATGTTGAATTCTCGAGACGCAAGACACAGGTTTCGAAGGTCTTTCTTACCGAGAGTATTGCCAATTCACAGAAGGGTTTCCAGTGGAAGTCCTAAAAGCGACATCTTCGCAAAGCCGATGAACTTGGGGTATTGACACACGATTGGTCTAAGAGGTTGATAATGAAAAGAGACTCCAAAGTAATGAGATTGAAAATTCGTGGCGTATATTTTGGAAAGAGGAGTCGCTCTCTGAAATACTCAGTGAGCCTGAGCCTAAGCACCCTCATAAAAGCGGCGGCAGCTCAAATAGGAAAACCCGCCAGGGAAACTCCGGTGCGTATAGGCACATACGTAAAAAGCAGGGACATTGCAGTTCGGTCCAATCCTTCGGTGAGTGGGGGTTACATTGTGATAGATCTTCATTAAAAGTACCAATATACTGGAGTAGTGCTATGCTAAAACAGAAAACAAACCCGATCTAAAAACATTATATCTTGAGTCCAACTTACTCCGTATCTATCTCGTCATGCATTAAATCCCACATCCCGAGCCTTCACCAATTCCTCCCTCTCATAAAGAACCTCCGGTATAACATCCCTTCTCAACAAATATCGTTTAACAAAATACCCAATCTGCCTCAATCCATACCGCGCATGGAGCCTCGTCGGCACAGAAAAGACCTGATCCAACTCCTCAAGCGTCTTCCCTTTCGTTTCGGGCATAAACAAGAGTACCAGCCACCATCCAACCAAACACCAACCTGCATGCCAAGCAAATGCACCCTGTATTGTAAATGTGGCGCGCAGGGACGGCCACGTCACACCCAGCAGGAAATTACAGAACCATATCGTTGCCGTGCCTAGCGCCATTCCGTATGACCGGATGTAAAGCGGGTACACCTCGGCTGTGTATGTGAATGGCACCGGTCCTTCACCGGGTGAGTAGACGATGCCGAAAAGATATGTTCCCAAAGCAATGCAGGCGAGACGTGCAGTGTGGCTGCTCTCGGGGATCCAGAAGCTGAACCCTGTGAATAACATTGCCATGGCCATGAGTGGGAAGGTGGATAACAGGAGATTGCGTCGGCCGAATGTGTCGATTGTGTAAACTGCGGGAATTGATAAGAGCCAGGTGATTAGACCCCAACCTAATGAGGCGGCTAGGGCAGCCGGAGGAGAGAATTTGGCCTGGGGTTTCTGTCAATATTCTGCTGGAGAGGAAGATTGATCCTTTGGACTGACCTCGAGAAATATCTCGGAAGAATAGTATGAAATAACGTTGACACCACAGAACTGATTTGAAGTTAGCACTCTCTGCAATTACTTCGGTATGTCTTGCTGAAAATTCACACCCACCTGCTGCATAAACATGACAATCTGAGACGCCAACATCGCTCTCCGATTTCGTGGGACTTTAATTAGCTCCAGCATCTTCTTTCGCCCAAGCTTCATACTATCCTCGGCCTCTAGCAGGGCATGCATGTAGTACAGGTCACGAGCTGCCTGCACTTTATGATGCCGCAGCGTACAGATGGACTCGTAAGCGCGGTAATACTGCTTCTGGCGCATGTACCAATGCGGCGACTCGGGACAAGTAAAGACAAAACAGCAAACGACCAGAGCCGGCAACATTGCCGAGGCCATCATACAACGCCAATTCAAGCCGACGATGACAGTCGAGTCGACGTGGTAGAAGATGAGGTCCCCTGCATACCCGACCATAATCCCAAACGCCATCCACACATGCCACTGCATAACCAATGCACCACGGATGGATGGTGGGGCTGTCTCGGCTGCGTAGATCGGCACAGTCGCTGATTTGGGGCCGATGCCGAAGCCTAGCATGAACCGTGCAACAAACATAGCCCACCAGGTTGAGACAAATCCCTGCCAGAGACAGGCTATCGCAGAGAAACAGCATGTTAGGAAAATTGTGCCGCGGCGGCCGAACCAGTGGTTGAACGGGACTGTTAGCCAGGAGCTGATGAAGGCACAGCAGAGGTATGGTGCGGAGTTTATGAGACCGAGGAGCCAGGCGTTCCGAGAGGATTCGTCGCCAATGCCGAATTGGTATTTGTAAAATATTTGGGCTCCGTTGACAACCGTTTGATCTATCATTGTTAGCAGGCGTATATACTTGGAGGGGTTGGGAACTTTGAACTGAACAGTTACTTACCCATCCCCTACACTGTAGCAGATAAAGAACACAACGAAATGACAGCATACATCTTCCATGGCTGTGACCAGCGACGCGTGAACTCCCGACGCAATACCCCCTTCTCCTGGTTTGTTAGACCGGTGACATTGTCATATCGTTCCGGAGACTGGGCCAGTACAGCACCTAGCTCGAAAGCACGGATATCCGACTCATCCCCCATCTCGTGAAGTTCAGCAAATATGCGACCCTGTTTCCGTAGTTCGTTAAGGCTGAACCCGGCCAGCGGATTGGAGAGTTTGGCATTAAGACTGCGCCGTGTCCGCTCGGCAGCTGTTCCGAATGGTCGTTGCGGTACGACTTTCTCGGATAGCGTGGCGTCCATTTTCTCCCTTTCCATCATTTTTCTATTTTTGAGAAGTGTATGGAGGGAAGATGTTGAGGAGACTGACTATGTTTGGTTTTTAGGGTTCAACTGGATCCCGAGACAAAGAAACTTGAATCCAAGCAAACCACATGGCTTTTGGTCTCTTTCCCCCAAGGGTGCGAAGTAAATGTACATGTACAGGGTCTGTCAAAGAACCCATCAAAGAACGGGGGATGGAGTTTGACTGCGCGGAGAAGTGATTGGCAGGGCTAGGGCTTACGATGTACAGAGTAGGGGTTGCAGACAAAGGATGGTCTGCTTGTTTTGCCCCATTTCAGGCTATGTCTGCACAGCTTATTGGAAAATCACTTCCGTGGAGTAAAGGGACGAATGACAGTTATAAATTGGAGATAATGGGAACTATGATGTATACTACACTGTAATTCCATCTACTCCGTAAGTACTATTTGCAGTGACTTGAATATTTCAAGACTGTGACTGGATGGGTCAGATGTGACAGAACCTAGAAGTATATTCAAAGAGGCTCTGGAAAAACTCTGTAGATCAAGGTCCTATCTACAGTACTGTCCATACTCAAAATGGGGAACAAACGGGATCACATGACCAACAAGCTTGAACTTGGATAAGAATACACTACGAAGCGAAAACAATAATGGAATGCGATATTATAGTACAGTGTACCAATTTCATTATAGATTATTTAAAATCTAATTCTATAGAGACAAGTGACAGTCTGTGGAAATCTGTGAAAATCTGGAGTCATATTAGCAATGATCGCATAGACTCGACAAGAGAAACAAGGTCAAGAAGCTCTATTCAGACAGCAGTTGGTACAATTTTTCGTCGACATTATATTTCAGAACAGGTCTCGTGAAAGGTTACATCATCATAAGAGCAGGGGAGAGAAGGGGGGGGGGGGGGGAAAGTCGAAAAACTCACATTTGAAAATTCAAACTATCCCGTCAATGAAGAAATTCATCATATCGGGGACAGTTGGGACATCACGGAGATGTATACCTTTGGGGAAGGCATGGCAAGCCGAAGCTACATCATGCTATGAGCTTGCCAAACACAACCACAAGGTCAATTGAGCCTTTGGCTCAGAAAAGGAGAAAAGAAGAGTATGAAATGAAGAAGAAATAATGGGAAGAAGAAAAAAATGTGAGCGCGTTAAATAGTAGGCGAGGTGCCAATTTGCACTGTTTGCACCCCCAAAAAAAAAAGTGGGAGATGCAATTTACCAGGTCGATTCTTTAGCTTTTGATAAAATTATTTTGCTATACTAATTACTCAGAGTATCTTTTTACATTGATACTAAAATCCTCTCTCAAAAACCATGGATGATGCAGAGAGCCCCAGACTGGAGGAGCAACAGAGTAAGATCGTCCTGAAAAAATACCCCAAAGAGTCTCGACTAATCGATATCTACAATATATAGCTCCTACCAAGTCTCCTTACACAAATGTTCGCACCGATGGGCGGGCCTTCAACTCTCCCAATTGGCGCATGAAAGTGGAAAGCCCAACACCATCGCGCACCAATGCCAGCCCCAGCGCGAGCCCCATTCCCAACCCCAATACCTCCCGCGCAGCCTTCAGCCGGCCCGGAGCGCACGTCCCCCAAGCGATTAACGATGGCCGCCGCCTATACGTTGGCAACATGCCATACACGGCTAAGATGGAGGATGTGGAGGCGCTGTTCATAGCGGCCGAGTTCCCTATGTATGACTGCACTTGAACCTGCCAGCCGTGAAATCGCCAACTGAACTTCCCTCCCCAATAGCGAGCGCATAGATATTGCCATTGATCCTTTCACCGGCCGGAACCCTTCCTACTGCTTTGTTGACTTGCAGAACAAGGAGCATGCCGAGCGCGCCATGACCGAGCTCGATGGCCGTGATATGTTGGGTCGCCCTGTTAAGATTAAGCCCGGTGTGGCCAAGTCTCAGGAGCGCATTCAGAGCCCACCTGAGCCATTCCGCATTGATCGCTGGCGTCAGCAAGAGAGACCTAGCTTTGCGAAGGTCAACAGTGACTCGAGCAACCGTGTGTATGTCGGTGGACTGCCACGATTGACCGACCATGGGGCTATGCAGAGCAACATGGAGATTTTCTTCAAGGGATTCAAGATGTAAGTTTCTAATGGCTTGGATTTCCGGTGTTGCGTGACCAATACTGATGCCCTTTATTTGCAGTGAGAATGTCAGCAAGATCTTTGCCCCTCACCCCGCTAAGCGGTTCGATCCCGGCGAGCACTACTATCTGTTCGTTGACTTGGGTACTCCCGAGCAAGCCCTGAAAGCCATGGATACCCTGAATGGCCAGGAAGGACCATGGGGTGGTCCGCTACGTGTACAGTTTGCTCGTGGTCCTAAGGAGGCCTAATTGAAGTACAGGCCCTAAAAAAGAAAATAAGTATTATTAATGATAGGACGTGTCGCGTTGCATGAGCTATGATACCAGAATATACTACAAAATGACATGCATAATTATCTCGCTATTCCGTTTTCGTCACTTAGTGCCTATTTATTTCAAGCTGACTTATTCCGGCCCAATAGAAACGACATCAAAGATCGCTATATAAAACTGACTATGATATGTGTCATGTCGGGTGTACCTAGGAAGTTCTGACGATAAGTAGCCGGACTGGACCCCATTTCTTCTATAATTCGCTTATCCGGACACCCGAAGATGCGAGGTATTTATTTGTCAGGCCTGTAATACTGTCTATCTTCAAATGTCATTGGCTGGAGTATACTGAAGCCAAATTCCTACATGGGAATGTTGGAGCCGTGCAACTATATACAAGGATGTATCTCTAGTAACCGAAGTGTTTAAGAGCTGGCATTTGTCAAAATATATCATGCAATGGGATCCAAGGAGTCTGTTTCTCATTTTGTATACATAATTCTCTCTAAATATCACTACCAAGCCCGGGTATAAGCGATCGTATATGAAAAACAGCCGCATGCGGACATCATCTTGAAGGATTAGTATGGACGAAACATGAGTATAGTATAATATTTTACCTGTTTAACCCCTATACAATATAGACTGTAGTAATATATGAAGGAATCTCCAAATAGGATCTTATCAAGCATCAATATGCTATATATAAAAGATGTTATAGTGGATTCTCAATGATTCACCATGGGATGACGTTTAGTGGGGAAATCCAGACTACCTCTTCACCGCATTATGCGCCTCCCCTGTTTCTGTTTCGGTTTACGTCTTTTTTCTTTCTTTTTCTTTTGTGAATTCATATATACCATCTTCATTTCTGGTCATTTCTTCTATGTCTTTGACTACCCCCATGTTGGTTTAAAGTGATCCTTCTTGTTTCTCCGGCTTCGGGTCGGAACTGTCCCTAATCTTCCCGAGAATCTCGTATCTGCTCTCTCCTTCATATAACACCCTCAAAAATGTCTTCAAAAAATATCCAACGCCAGCATAAGGCATTCATTGCAAGTGTGAGTGCAATTTTTCTGTTTTTGCCCCCCATTTTTGATATCCGCGGGGTTGTTGCTCTACCGAGGCATTACGTATATGCGTATATGCGGGTTTGGGATTGATCTTTGTTAAAGTATGGAGCCTTAGAATGGCTTCTGAGTATGCAAATGCGAGCAAGTAGAAGAACTGTGCAAGACTTTCACAGTTCCAAGTTTGGGTCTATACCTTTTATCTCTACCTTCTGTTTTCTTCTCTTTCCCACCCCCGCAATCAAGCACTCTTGCAACCTTTAAATTTTTTTTTTGAAAAGAAAATGTCAGCTGTTAACTTTGCTACGCAGTCCGACGACTCGAAGATATGTGTTGTCATGGTGGGCCTTCCGGCCCGAGGCAAGAGTCTCATCGCCGGCAAGGGTAAGTGGAACAGAGCCATAATGAAAAACATGGGGGACTAATTTGCGATAGCTATGCGCTATCTGGGCTGGGTCGGTATCCCTGCACGTGTCTTTAATGTTGGCAGTTATCGCCGCTTCAGCACTCCACAGCCACAAGCGGCCTTCTTTGATCCCCACAATGAAGAAGGCGAGCGTATGCGACGAGCTGCCGCAGAGGCTGCCATGGCCGACATGCTTCAGTGGTTTAACACTGGGAAGGGCGTCGTGGCCATCTTGGATGCTACCAACTCCACAAAGGAGCGCCGCAAGTGGATCTATGAGAAATGCCACGAAGCTGGTATCGAGGCTCTCTTTGTTGAGTCAATTTGTGACGACGAAGACCTGATTATGACCAACATCAAGGAGGTCAAGACGACATCCCCAGACTACAAGGGCCAAGACCCCGAAGTGGCGGCACTTGATTTCCGCAACCGCATTCGCAACTATGAAAAGGTGTATGAGACCATCGATGATGGCGAGAAGCATTACACTTATGTCAAGCTTATCAACGTGGGTTCGACGGTCATCATCAACCAGATCAAAGATTATCTGTCCAGTCGACTAGTTTATTATATCCAGAATATTCACATCAAGCCTCGTTCAATCTGGCTATCAAGGGTAAGTCCAAGATCAAAATTGCGGAATATTTCGAAGTGGGACTAACGAAAATAGCACGGTGAGTCCGAGTTCAACTTGACCGGCCGGATTGGAGGTGACTCCAACATCTCCGAGCGCGGTGAGGCCTACGCCCGCGCACTCCCCGAGCTAATGCGCAAGTCTGGAATCCCCGAGAACACCAAAATCGTGATCTGGACATCAACGTTGCGCCGCACTATCCAGAGTGCCCGCCATCTCAAGGCAGAGACTGGCTACGAGAAGCTGGAGTGGAAAGCCCTGGATGAGCTGGACTCGGGCGTCTGCGACGGTTTGACCTACGAGCAAATCGCTGAGAAATACCCAGAGGATTTCGCCGCCCGCGATGAAGACAAGTACAACTACCGCTATCGTGGTGGCGAGTCCTATCGCGACGTCGTCATCCGCCTGGAGCCCATCATCATGGAGCTGGAGCGCAGTGAAAATGTCATTATCGTTACCCATCAGGCTGTTCTCCGCTGCATCTACGCCTACTTTATGAATGTACCCCAGGAGCAGAGTCCCTGGATGGAGGTGCCTTTGCATACTCTTATCAAACTCACGCCCCGAGCTTACGGTACCGAAGAGCAGCGCTTTAAGGCTAACATCCCCGCTGTGTCGACCTGGCGTGGGAAGGGGACTTCGGCGAGGCACCAGGAGTTCCATGCCGCGGAAGGAGGAAAGGCAGAAGGCACGGAGACCAAGCATTAGGGATATGTTGATCTGCATCGGCGCGGCGTCACCTGGGTGTGATCGGAATTCGGACTGCATGAGATATTCAGATACCAAAAACATGGTTTTTTTCTTCTTTGATTATACGATACAAGAGTAGACGGCCGTGTAGACTGCCGTGTGATGTCTTTTCTAGTAGTCCTTTTCTAGTAGTCTTTTAACATATTTTCTCTCCCTTCTCAGTTCTACAGGTAGAAGGTAGAAAAAGGGAAAAAGTATACTTTGCGCAAGAGATTTTTCTATGTATAATCTTTCACATACTTTAAATCTATTATTCAAGCCATGTTCTTCGCAGTTTTATCGTACTCTTGTCTCATTAGAAAGTTGAAGTTCATTTCAACACAGAAATGATATGGCTAGACAACTCCAACCCAACTTAGTGACATCCTCTTGCTTAGTTACAAGTCGGGTTGAGCGACCACAAGCCTAGTAGCCACCATTATATTCTAAGCAGAGGAAACTTGCAGGTATGAACAACTGACAAGAGAGGCCAAGAATCCCAGTTGCTCAAGGCCCAGCCCAAATATATGCTGACTCAGAAATGACTCAGCCCCGGACGTCATGCGGAGAGCTCCAGCAGGAGGGCCCCTCGAACCTCCAGTGGAAGGAATTGAAGACAGCACGCCCATGTTGTCAGCATTTACTGCGCGGCCGCTCGTGGAGCTCAAGCCGCGCGACAAGTCCCGCATCGAATCGGTCCTAGCCTACGGCGACCGCCTCCTCGCCGGCCTAAACAATGGCAACCTTCGCATCTACCGCGTCACCGACGACGGCAAGACCGAGCTCCTCCGCGAACTGGAGAGATTCTCCCGATACAAGATCGAACAGCTCGCCTTGATTAAGGAGGCCAACGTGCTGGTTTCTCTTTCTGGTGGTTATGTCTCGCTCCACGATGCGCAGTCCTACGAGCTTGTTGAACAGCTAGCTCAAACGAAGGGCGCTTCTGTCTTTGCCATCACGTCGAATGTTGTCAATGATGCCGATACCAATGTACCGGCTATTGTCTCCCGCTTGGCGGTCGCTGTCAAGCGGAAGATTCTTATGCGGGCGTGGCGCGACATGGAGCTGGAACGGGATACGGCTGAGCTGAGCTTGGTTAGTGGGGTCAAGACTCTCACCTGGGTTGCGGCTACACGGCTAGTGGTTGGGCTGAACTCGAGCTTTGTCATGGTCAATATAGAGAGTGGTCAGTTCACGGACCTGGCTGGGCCCGGTAGCATTGAGGAATCGGGCCGGTTCGGAGGCGTTGGTGCCGCGAGCATGAGCTATATTGGCATGGGAGGTATGGTACCGCGGCCACTTGTGACGAGACTGCGCGAAGGTCAGATTCTTCTGGCTAAGGACATCAACACGAATTTCATCGACATCGACGGCCAGCCTCTTGGTCGGAAGCAGGTGCCTTGGAGCCATGCCCCGGTGGAGCTTGGATACTCGTACCCGTTTTTGTTGGCTTTGCACGACTCATCTAAGGGTGTGCTGGAAGTACGGAACCCGGAGACCTTGTCGCTACTACAGTCTATTCCATTGCCGTCGGCTAGTATCTTGCACATTCCGCAGCCGAACATCAGTCTCGCCCATGCCGGTAAAGGGTTCCTTGTGGCGAGTGACCGCACCATCTGGCGCATGGAAGCTCTGAGCTATGATACCCAGATTGATGCCTTGGTTGAGGGTGGTTATCTAGATGAGGCTATCAGCTTACTCAGCATGCTGGAGGATGCTCTTTTACGGGATAAGGCTGGTCGACTGCGCGCGATAAGACTTGAAAAAGCGCAGAGCTTGTTCGCCTTGAACAAGTACAGGGAATCTCTAGATCTTTTTACTGAGGTGTCTGCACCTCCGGAGAGTGTCATTCGCCTCTACCCCCGCTTGATTGCAGGCGATCTATCCACTGTCCCGGAGCCTGAATCCCCGAATGGAAAGACGAGCGGGTCCCAGAGTGACAGTTCGTCCGATGATGCTGCTGGTGGACAGACATCCACCCACGCAGCCTCTATTATATCTTCTGTGCGAAAGCCTGATGAAGGAAGCGAAGCCAGCAGTATCCGCGGAGATGATAAAGGTACGGCAAGCTTCCATTGCTTTTGAACCCATGCTAACTAATTATAGGTCTTCGAATAGCTGTCCGCGAGCTACAAGGATACCTGGCAGATGTTCGCCGACGCTTCCAACGCTTCGTCAACCCCGATGGAACTCTCAAAACTGCCCCACCAAGCGAAGCCACAGATGAGGCAAGTGACTCGGTGCTTAAGCTGCTGGATTTCCCATCTGCCGACGAGTTTGCCACACAAATCTGTGCCAAGGCACGGTTGGTTGACACCACTTTGTTCCGTGCACACATGTTCGCGACTCCATCACTAGCTGGATCCCTCTTCCGCATTGCCAACTTCTGTGACCCAGAAGTAGTCATGGAGAGACTCGAGGAGACTGGTAGATATAACGACCTCATTGACTTCCTTTACGGCAAGAAATTACATCGACAAGCACTAGAATTGCTCCAGCGCTTTGGACAGACAGACAACGGTCCTCTGAGTGGTCCAACACGTACAGTCGCCTATCTTCAAAATCTACCGCCAGACCAAATTGATCTGGTTCTCGAGTTCGGAGAATGGCCGCTTCGTGCCAATCGCGAGTTGGGAATGGAGATATTCTTGACCGACACTGAAAATGCCGAGACATTGCCCCGTTCACAAGTCCTCGCATTCCTTGAAAAAATAGACACCACGCTTGCTATTCAATACCTCGAGCATGTCATTAATGAATGGAATGACATGACTCCGGACATACATCAGCGGCTGCTTATCTTATATTTAGATCAACTTACATCCGACAACGAGCAAGGGGAATGGAAGGAGAAGTTCTTGGCGATGCTGAAAGAGAGCGAGCAATACTCGCCAGCGAAGATGTTGGATCGGCTCGATCGAGAGGGTACGTTGCGAGCTACTCCTATGAAACAAGTCATCACTAACGCATCCTAGATCCCAACTTCTACGAAGCCCGAGCTATCCTATTCAGCAGGATGGGTCAGCACCGACAGGCGCTTGAGATCTACGTCTTCAAACTTGCGGACCACGAGAAAGCAGAAGAGTGAGTGATATAGCATTTCCCCCAAAACAGCAATTGCTAACCCTAGAAAGATATTGCAACCAGGTCCACCTTGCCGAAAAGGCCGAGGAAGAAAATTCCATCTACCTCACCCTCCTTTCCCTCTATCTCTCCCCGCCCCATGGCTATGAGCCCCAAAACGACCCCGCGATTGATCTGCTAGCCAAGCACGGCTCACGCCTCCCAGCCGACGCCGCATTGAAACTCATACCAGACAAACAGGCCGTGCAGAAACTTGAATTCTATTTCAAGGGTCGGATGCGCGCCGCAAACTCGGTTTTCAATGAAGCGCGCATCGTGGCAAACCTGCGCAAGGCACGGGATATGCAGATCCAAGCCCAACTCGCTCTTGGCGAGGGGATTCGTGGCGGAGGCACGCGGGCTCGCCACGTCACTGTCACTGAGGAGCGAATTTGTGGCGTTTGTCATAAGCGTTTGGGTGGGAGTGTGATCAATGTTTTCCCCGAGTAAGTCGTTTCCGGTTGTTTGTCTTTTTTGGTCTGTTCATCGCTGACTTCTTTCCAGTGATACCGTGGTGCATTTGGGGTGTGCCAGTCGAAGACCTAGTGTTCGAGCTGGGTAGTGTGCATACTCTCCTGCATCTGCATTCGCCGGGTCGTTTTGTTCTTGTTCATGTTCTTAATTTTCCTTCTCTTTTCTTTTCGTTTTCTATCTTTCATTTGGTTTTTTTTTTGTGTCGACGGAGGCTATCCCAGCGACTTTGATACCCATAGCATCTGCCCATTTCAAGATACATCCTGATCATGCGATCATGCATCATCCTCAACCACTTCCTCTCCGTAATTCTCCTCCTCCTTAGCTTCCTGTGCTGAGAGCTTGCCCTGCACCTTGTCCTCTTCCATGCGCTCCGTAAGGAAGGCGTTTATCTGGTCCTGCAGCTTGGGCACGAGCGACTGCAGCTCTGAGAGGTGGGCCTGCTTAGCCGCTAGTGTGCCGGTTGTGGTGGAGAACACATGTTCAAAGGTCTCGGTGGATTGAGGGGTAGTGTAGACTGCATTCAGGCTCGTGTTGGAGGCCATTTTGAAATTTAATAGGAAAGTTGGGGAAATGGGGGGGGGGGGGGATTGTTGAGCAAGATGGCAGAGAATCATGTCCCCCGTTGTAACTTACCGCCTTTCTTACCGCCTCTGATCTAAATCGGGACTTGGTTCTTCCCCAGGGGATTCCAGGTATGACTGAATACGGGGGGTTTGTATATTACTGGATGTGCTTGGATCATACGGTAGCATTGCCGAGGCTAATTTCTGTTGGGTTCTAGGACGGTAAGACCTAGTCTATATGGGGCTGAATGTAATAAGAAAAGTTGAAAGTTGTGGAAATGATGGAAATGATGGAAATGATGGAAAAGAGGAAAAGAGGAAAAGAGGAAAACATACCAGATAAACTACATAAAGCAGTGAAATGATCTACGAATATAAACCGCAAAATTATAAATTCTGTGATCACCAAGTCTCCGCATCGTAGATCTGAGATTCTGCCAGATAGAGGTTATAGAGGAAGGGATCGGCGACTTGCCTAGGTGTGGCTTTTGTAACGTTGTAAGGAGAAAAAAAACCCTTTGCGCCTAAAAGATAACTCGCCAAAAGGAGAGGGCATGGATTGTTCGTTATGAATCCTACCTTCCGATCCCCCAACTCGCCTGGGCGTCAGCGAGTTCCTCCTGCCCCTCGATACTCCCGACCTCCGTCTGATGACGAAGACGACGACTCCGATGAAGACGAATTGGTTCGACCCGGATCCTCCGGTAGTGACGCTTCTTCTAATGTGACCACCGTTTCCGCCGCCCCTATCACTCCGATCAATACTCAACTCCCCCCTGGGGGTTACTTCCCCTCCACAACCACGCTCCGCCACTTCACCTCATCACCCTATGCCGAACCCAACAGGGCGAAAGCCCTCCGGCCGGGGTCCCTCTATCGAGCTACCCCGGCATCGATCACGGCATCACTCACAGGGTTTCTTTGAGCCATCCCTGCCGACAACCTCCTCCGACCAGGTCTCTACTGTGTCAGCCTCCCGTATCGCCGCCCAGGCAGCAATGCAGCAGACGAAAAGACAACAAGGTGTTATGACCCCGATAGAGGATGGTCCTCGTCCCAGGCGCAGTAGAAGCAACTCGCCTCCTCTTATGCCTGCTCCATTGCGTGTCAACCAACCCTCCCCCCAACCGCCTCTGCCATCAGGGAATGTGGCTACGACAGCTGCGAATATGGTCTTCCCGCGAGCCGGTGTTACGCCAGTAGAACTACAGCCCGAGAAACAGAAGAAGAAGAAGCTCTTCTCAAAACCAAAACACATCGGAATCAGCAGTCATAAAGATCTGGGCAAAGACCGTGGTCTTCCCTCCCCGAGCAAGATCAGTGGGTTATCGCGCATGGTCAGCGGCTCGACTACAAACCTGACTGATTTATCTTCGAACAACTCGTCAATGTACAATTTGTCAAATGCCTCCGTGAGCACAGTCGTCCCCGCAGATCGCCCGCCGCTTCCAGAGAAGGATAAGGACAAGGATAAGGACAAGCACAAGCATCATTTCCTGTCGAGGCAGAAACTCAAATTAAAAGACCGAGTCGAAGACCACTTCAACCTTCCTCTATCGTCGGCTTCGAGTAATTCTCGTCCGGCAGATCCCAATGCCCCACAATCTTTATACTCCTTTACACCTGCGTCCCCAGCTCCTGGAGCGACGTTTGGCAAGTCAGTCAGTGGGTTGGACCTTCTGCATGGCGGTCGAGCATTGCGTGAAAAGAAAAAGGAGGAGAAGGCGCTCGCTGAGTCGGAGCAGTTGGAATGGCTGGCTAATAATGCTGGCGCGTCCACGACACCCGGTGGTTTCCCAGGCCCGTCTTCAGTTGGTAGTTCGGGGACATTCCCCGAGTCTATTCTCCGGGAGACCTTGCAAGGGTTTGGGTTAAATAATATGACCCCCGAGGATGCGTGGGACTTCCTTAAGGCGAAGCTGCTGGTCATCTTCGATGGTGAGGATGTGCGCATTGCCATTGAAGATCTCAACAAGCTGGTGCTCGTTCATTTGCAGCGTTGTGTCCTCAAGAGGGCTCCTGCGTCTATTGTAATAGACCTGCAAGAACTTCTAGACACTGGATTTGCGACTTTGAATCACAGTTCGCTGGCTGGCCTCCCAGATGAAAAGTTGGTCCCGCATCTGGTTCAAGTGTGGCTGCTGGTGTTTGGCACGATTTTGCCCTTCATCCAAGCCGTGTTTCTCCCCTTGGATCTTGAATTCAAGGGATGTGGATCCTTGATGACTAGCCGGGAAGCCGGGGAATTCTGGGGCGCACTGCCTGTTGGTGGGACACTCGATGTGCGAAGTCTAGTCTTGATTGCCTTCCGTGACTGCATCATCATGAATCGCTACGATGCCCTCAAAGCAATTTTCTCCCGGCTCAGTTTAGACTCCATCAACTCCGGATTCCCAACGCTCAGCGTCACAACCAAGAGTACCTGCGCTGGAGGCCGTCCTGGCACCGCAGCCTCCCTCGATGCTGGCTTAGGTAGCTTCAACTCGCAGTCATCTACGCTTCTCAGCACCATCGCCGATAGTCATTCATCCGACGGCATGAGCGCCCTGGCCAACCACCCACGTCCATCAAGCAGTGATTCTCGCAGCCGCGCTGCCTCGAACACATCTTCCAACGCAGACCCCTTCTTCCAGTCCATCGCATCTCCTTCCACCTCCAACAACCGGCCCACCATCATCCACCGCGGCACATCCACCGACTCATCTCACATCATCACAGAGACCGTCGGCCGTATGCTGCAATGCATCAGCGTCCTGGCCAGCGTGCAAACCGACGACCCTGCCCAGGAGCGGATGGATGTTCTTAGCAAAGCTCTCAAACACAACTGGCTCGGCCGCGGCCGCACAGGCCGTGATCGTCGTGGTTTCGTCGGCGCCAAGATCCGGCCTGTGATGGTCGGCGGTCCTCCTGTTATCGATGATATGGATTCCCTGACTACGGCTGACATCAGCATCGGTGCTAGTACTAGTACAGGTGGATCCCGGGGTCGAGGTGACTCGTCCTCGTCGGAATGGAGTTCCAATATTCCGGGACCCGGCATGAGTATGCGTAGTGGTGGTCGACGAGAACTGAGTGTTCTCTAGCTTTGTGTTTTTCTTCTACTCGTTATGATTGTATGATGGCGGGTTGGGTACGTTGGCAATAAAGGGGCGTTTCTAGTTTTAAAGGAATTGATATCCTGTCTCAGGCATTGTCCAGAAATTTCATCTATGCCGTTCTACCCCGTACTCTGTAAGGAATTGTGTGAATCTTACATTTTTTTTAGGGGATTTTGTAGATACATGTAACTTTTTTTTGGCCAGTTTTGTGCTTTTCCCAATTTTTTTGTCCTTTTGACTTAAATGTGAAGTCAAATTCAACAGTAAATCTGACAATTGATTGTCACATATGGTACCCAGGGCCCGGCCAACTAGCCACTGGGAGAAACCGTAGATATCCATACCCAGCAGAAGAATGGCGTCTCACCTCGCCATCCATCTCAAACATCCAAGGGCAGCGGCTTACTTTCGAGCCTTGCCCTTACCCTTCAAATTGAGCTTATCAGACTCCTTAAGGAATTCGTATCGACGCTGGCAAACTGCGGCGGGAATCTCCCAACCAAGCTCAGCCGAAACAAGATCGGCAATCTGCAAAAAGCCATCGTTGTTCAGCTCCGAATCGAACTCACGCAAGTTTTCCAGAAGAACCTCCTATTCAAAAATCAGTAAGTTGACCAAGAAAACAACTCTCAATCCCCGATAGAACCCAAACGGGTATTCGGGATTGAGGTCATCAAAGGGCAAAGTGAATACATACGTCGAAACCAGGCCAAACACCAATCTTTTCCTTAATCCGTCCCCATCGCTTGCTCACTGCTCGCCATGTCATGATATTGTCCTGGACAGGTCGGTTATCATTCCATGTAGCGGTGATAACCCCCCACGACATCGTCGTCGTCTCTTTCATCTGGGACATCATCTTGTCTGCGATAGGTGCTGTCTCCCATGAATCTGGGGTTGCGTTGCCCTTGCCAATCTTCCTAGCGCTGGAGCTGGGGTTGACGTCAGCGCTGCGCAGACGGCGCGAGGAGACGGTGACTTGAGGCGCTGGAGTACCCAGCTCGGCCTTTCGGCTGATTCTCAAACTACGGCGGGATGGTGTCGAGGCAGGCGCAGGCGTTACAGGCTCATTCTGAGAACGGCGGCATGTTGAAGTTGACGTAGCCGAAGGGCTCGTGGTCTTGACCCTGGATGAGATGCTGCGACGCTGGACCGAAACTGACGTTCTTGCTGAAGCCGTGGTTGATAGGTCTGAGGTCGAGGTCTTCGTCTCGGGTGAACTGTCTCGGGCACGCTTCACGGCTGAGACTTGGAATGTCTCCTCCACTGACTGCAGGGTCTGACTTGGGACCTCGGACGCTTCCCTGAGATCAGGAGAGGTAGCTTGAGCAGAAGAAGATTCAGTATGAGCGGGTTCATCAGGCTCCAGTTGAGCCGGAGGATGCTGAGTGAGAGAAGACCCAGGTGCATCAGCCTCGGTGGGATAATGCTGAGGGGGACCGATAGAATTCCAATATCCAGGCTGTAGACGCTCATCGCCAGCATTTTCAGCTTCTATCGCATCAACGGCAGCTTTCATCTCAGCAGCGAGAACATCCGGAGCAAGGCGTCTTCTCATACATCGCTGCTCTTCCCAGGAAAACATATGCGGTGGATCGACATGGGGATCGCCCATTTCACGCAGGACCTCCTGCTCAGACGCTATGATGCGCTCAAACTCCTCGGGGGTGTAGACACCCATTGGGTCGGTGATCCAATTGCTGTTGTCGGAAGTCTCTCCGGGGTACATGAATGTGGAGGGAAGGACATTCAGGTCTTCAAAGGGGGTAATACCTGACATGACCGCTGAGCCATATGGCTGATGAGGGTCCATATAAGGATCCAGGTCGGGATCCCTTGGAGGATGTGTTGAAGGGTCCGGGGGAGTAGAAAAGACGTAATCCCGAAGAGGAGACCGGTAACCGCTGTAGCCAAACGGAGCTTCGTCAGGGCTTGAATGAGTCCTGGGAGATGCACTGGTAGTTGGGAGCTCTGAAGTAGGGTTGATACTAGTGGAGGCCTTGTCGTAGCCAGAAGAAGACCCATGAGATGTGCTGAAAGTACTAGGCTTAGGAGGATCCATATTGAACCCAGGGACGAAAGAGGACTCTCTATTCTGCGAGGAACAATCGGAGTCGAGTGACTGGGGGGGGGGGGGGGTCGTTTGCATTCGTAGAATCCAAAGCTGTGCTCGAGTCTGGGATGGCCTCCCGAGGTCTCTTGAAAACAATTTTTAGCCTAGGAGTAACAGGAGTCGAGTCATTGGGGGAGCTGTTTGCATTCATAGAATCCAAAGCTGTGCTCAGTCTGGGGTGGCCTCCCGATGTCTCTTGAAAACAATCCTTAGCCTAGGAGTAACGGGAGTCGCGTTCTTTAAACGTCCCTTTGCATTTACGGGATCTGTATCAGTCTGGCGATTGCGAGTTATGACAGAAGCAGGGGTATCAGAAGAAACAGTGGGACTCGCTGCAGGTAGGTGCTTCTGAGAAGTCTTTCCAAGGGAAAATCGAACTCGGGTTGGTCTAACAGGAGTGCTTGGAGCTTGATCAGTGATGCGACGAGAACGAGTGCTCTGTCGGAGTGGCTCTGGGGAGGGAGAACTCGAAGCCTCGTACTCCGAACCAGATGGGATCTGTCAGTGGTGAACTGAGGAGGCTCTCATTTACACTGTATCCAAGGAATCATCCGACTCCTGAATGGAGGGTGTGCCACTTGTTTCTCTTGCTAATTGAATCATCAAGGCCGGAAAAGGGTCCCTACTGTGATCCATGAGAGGCGACCAAGTTAGATTGGGTCTTCTACTGTTTGCTCCTATATACGTGTCCAACGACATAATATCCATATTTGACGATGTAAGCAGTTTATGCGCTTAGTCGTACTCTGCTAGCCAAAGTCACTGGACTTCTGCGGTCCTAAACACATAAACACCACTGCCTTTCCTTTTTCTCTACTATATGTTCTAGTACTATACAGCTCCCATCGCTCTCTTTACATCTTAGGGCTGAGATCTCTCACAGGTCGAAAAGTATGGCAGTGTTATCGTATGGGTAAATTTGATTGTGACTTCCAAGTCTAGTTGTTTATATTCCACCTTTCTTGACTTTGTATTCGGCCTCGACGGCTGTGTGCTGATCGCGCCTATGTACAAGCCATGAGCAAGAGACGATTTTAAATAGTTTTAGGAACCTCGATAGAAGCCTTTCTTCAAAACACTTACAATAGGTACATCCTGTAGAGAAAGTCAAGTACTATAAAACCCACTTTGTCATCTTTCTATCGGTCTTTTCGAGGTCTTGGAATACAACGCCCAACGGTCCCCTAATATTGTTAGTATGGCACCTTTGATAGCTATTTCTAGCCCTTTATCTTCGATCTCAGCTTCTATTAGGATAGTCAGACCATTATCACTCCATGCTAAGACATCTTGTACTGGCGATACAGGGATCTTCATTGAATAGAAGAGTAGAACATATAAATGATCTAGAACCCATAATATGTCTAGAACCGTTCAAAGAATATTAATAATCATTATTCAACCTTGGCGCTTAATATGAAGAGCGGATTGGCTAAGATCTAGGGCTACAAGATACTAGATTTCAAGACCTTTAGGCCCCAAGACTAGGCAATTTAATAATAAGTACACCGTATATTTACAAGAGCAGGACCAGCACATAGATTCGTGGGGCCGACTGATTGGCTTCAGGGCTGCAGCCTGTGCAGCCTGTGCAGCCTGCGCATCGTGTGCCTCTCTCTCCTTTCACATAAAATGCGTCTCACCCACAGCGCCATTCTCTTTCTTCTTTGCATCTTGTCTTGATCCTCGTTTTTCCTCCCTTTTGCTATTGAATCTGTTATCCTCCCAGCTTTGAATCTCCAACTCTCCAGCCCTCTCCAATTCTCCTCAATTTTCCCCCAACTCCCCCGGCTTACGTCTTCAGCCGCATCCTGCAGCTCACAGCTTACAGCTTACAGCTTACACGGAGCTGTCATGGATCCCACTTCTACTCCAGCTGAGGCCAAAGATGAAGTTGTTTCAGAAAATCTGAACGGCTCTGCCCAACCTACAGAAGTCAAAGAAGTCAAGGACGCTGTCGCCCCCGCACCAGAGAATACCCCTATTCCTGCCCCCAAACTGTGCAAAAAGCACAAAAAGAAAAGTAAGAAAAAGGATGAAAGTGATAGCTCCTCTGAATCTTCTTCCTCAGAATCCGACAGTGATGCCGACTCTGAGGATGAATCCGATTCCACAGAGAGCGAATCCGATACCGAGAGGCGCAGGCGACATAGGCTACGAAAGGCGCGTGCGAGACGTGCGCTCAAGGATAAGAAACGTCGTAAGAAGAAGAAGAAGCAGCGGTCGCGCAAGGTCGAGTCATCCGCTTCGGAATCTGATACTTCCTCTGAGTCAGATTCGGGGTCTTCTACGGACTCCGATGACGAGATAGATGACAAGGCCTTGCGGAAATTAGTCACCAAGCTCAAGCTTAACAAAAAACGAGCTAAGAAGCTGCGTGAACTGGCTGCTGATGATTCGGCCGCGAGTGATCCTGTGAGCGAAACTCGCCGCGAGAAGCGGTCAAAGAAGAAGAAGCCCGCTTCCAAGGTAGCCTATAAGCGTGTAGATCAATGTAAGTTTATCTTCTTCTCGACTCGCATGTCCGGAGCTTTCCTTGCTAACTTGTTGCAGTATGGGATACCACCATCCACCAGTACAAGCTCACGGAAACCGTGGATGACCCCGATGCCAACGAATGGGACCAGTACATCTTTAACATCCGTCGCAAGTTCAACTGGGAGAACAAGTACCTCGAGACTGTCGTCGATATCAAGAGCAAACCCCTCCGTGATGCTCTCTCCAAGATCATGGATGGTGTCAAGGGTGTCAGTCTCGTTCAGGAACCCGCCGTTGTCGATCCCAACATGCTGTTCCTGTATCTGGAGGAAACAAGGCAGTACATGAAGGAGCTGAAAAAGCAGTCACGCAGCGAGAAGAAGAAAAAGGCCAGAAAGATTGCTGCCACCAAAGCTTCCCATCTGAAGGTTCTCGTCAAGTACCTCGACACTGACTACGCAGACATCAAAAAGACTCTCTACCCGCTGCTCGAGGCCAACACAATCACCTTTGATCTCCTGTGGGCCCTATACAAACCAAACACCATCGCTTACACTCCAACCTACGGCAACTCAGCTGAGCCACGTGCTTTCAAAATCGAGTACGCCGTCAAAGAGTCCTCCTTCATGAAGGGTCAGTGGTACAGTGTCGATGGCCGCTACCTGGAGTACGATGGCAAGGACTACGGCTTCGGCACTATGTCCGCTGAAGTCGATGCCTTCAAGGGCGCTCGCAAGATCACTAGTCTCGCCTGCTACCCGCTACAGTATCACCGCGATGCTGAGGCTCTGCGTGCCCGTCTTATCGAACGCGGGAAACGCTTCGTCGCCCTCCGTGGTATGAATTACCGCTTCCACAAAGGTATGGCCTTCTACAAGAAAAAGCGCTCCCTCATCATCAAGGTCAATATCAATGGTCGCGTCATGATCGACCCAGCTATCCACCGTCGCATCAACCCTAACTATCCCATCTCCACTGTCCGTCCCAAGGACCCGGATCTCATCGACCCCGAAGATCTTGGGATCAGCGGTGATGAGGATGATGATAGCGATGGCTGCTGCTGTGGTGGATCAGACTCCGACTCTGACCACGGCGGTGCCTCTGATACCCCACGGACAATGTACAAGGTCGTCGAGGATACGGACGGATGTACGCGCGTCGTGGAGGTCGAAATCGACGAGAACGGTGCTGAGATCCAAAAGGAGAAGATGGATCGCATTGAAGGTGCCGCTGCTGATACCAAGGAGCGTGAGTTCACCGAGGAGGAGCTGCTTGTTGCTTCTCCTGTTGTTCTGGGCTTTGCTTTCAGCGAGAAGCTCTGGCTCGAATTCACTATCTCCGGTATCAGTGATATCGAATGGGATAAGGAAGCCTTTGGCTCGCTTGTCCTCCCGGCGAACCAAAAGTCCATTGTCAAGGCCCTCGTTGAGTCGCATACCTTCCACGCCGCGCAAAACATCGACGATGTCATCCAGGGCAAGGGTAAGGGTCTTGTTGCCGTGCTGCATGGTCCGCCCGGTACGGGTAAGACCCTGACAGCAGAGGGTATCGCTGAGCTACTCCGTCGCCCGTTGTATATGGTCAGCGCTGGCGAGCTGGGTACTGACTCACGGACCCTTGAGGCCGAGCTGAACAAGATTCTGGATATCGCCCATTCCTGGGGTGCGGTGCTCCTCCTCGATGAGGCAGATGTCTTCCTTGAGAAGCGCACGATCCACGATATTCACCGCAATGCCCTGGTCAGCATCTTCCTCCGTCTGCTGGAGTACTTCCAGGGTATTCTGTTCTTGACTACCAATCGTGTTGAGACCTTCGACGATGCCTTCCAGTCTCGTATCCATGTCGCCTTGCGTTATGGTGATCTTACTTCCAAGGCGAAGAGGAGTATTTGGAAGATGTTCTTAGAGCGCGTGCGCGCTATCGAGGGTGTGCATATCGCATCTTTCTCTGAGGAAGACTACGATGTGCTTTCCAGGCACACGCTGAATGGACGACAGGTATGTTCACCAACTATACCCTCCCCTTCTGATCTCAAGACTAACCGATCCACCATCAGATCAAAAACTCCGTCCGCACCGCACAAGCCCTGGCTGTCAACGAGAGCGCGCCTCTCTCCATGGAGCATATCAAGCGCGTTCTAGAGGTGGCCGAAACATTTGATCAAGACCTGCGTGGTGGAACGGGGTACCTGGACGCCATGCGAAGCTATACTTGATTTTTCCTTGAAGATTTCCGATCATCTCGGGGGATGCTTACTATGAAAATTGGTGCAAACCTGGTATTGAGCTCGCTATTTGCTTTCCCTTCCATCTTTCCATGTTGCTTTTCGTGTTCACCTGCTGTTTTCGGTTTAGGTACAGAGTATTTAGTTTGCGACGTCTTCATTTTTTTATTCTTGCATTGCGGACATGGAGCGAATGAGCTTTGGTAGTTTCAATACACGATACGAGTTGAAAATGAGTATAGTTACAAGTTAGGATCATAGTATAGACCGATTTATGGATTAGAATAGATCATCCATCTAGTAAAGAACATTGTCATACACTTTCATTATTACAGAAACAAAAGTCACGACGAGATATGGATGGTTGTACATGGAACTTTTCAAGGGTTGGCCTTGACGAAGTCAACACCCTTCTGGATGTTCTTCTTCAGGTCAGCCAGGCAGGCATCGAGGAGACCCTGCTCGTACTCGTTGATCTCGCCAACGGAGTTGATGTTCTCAACACCGTTGGGGCCGAGCTCGACGCGGGAAGCGAAGAAGTCGATACCCTGGTCCTTGTACAGAGGGGAGTCGACGAAGGTGGGCTCGATGACACCCTTCTCGCCCTGGGCGGCGCGGAGAAGAGACTCGGCGAAGCGGGCACCGGCCATGGCCATGGAGAGGGTGGCGGAGCCGGCACCGTCCTTGGCCTTGACAACCTCATCACCACCGAACTGGATGCGGTTGACAAGGGCATCGCGGGCCTGGCCAGCGATGGAGGAGTGGTTGGACTGCGAAAGCAGAGGAACAATGGTCACACCGGAGTGGCCACCAACGACGGGGACAGCCTCGCCAGAGGGGTCGGTGCTCTGGACCTGGGAGATGAAGCGCGAGGCACGGACAACGTCAAGGGTGGTGACACCGAACAGACGCTTGGGGTCGTAGACGTTGCGGGCCTTGTAGACCTCGGCAACGATGGGGACGGTGGAGTTGACCTTTTGATGAATGGTTAGTAGGGTATCTTCGTTGTGAGATCATCATAGATGATTATTGCGACTTACGGGGTTGGCAATGACCAGAACGTGGGCCTTGGGGGCGGCCTCAGCGGCGGCCTTAGCAAGGTCGCGGACGATGGAGGCGTTGGTGTTGAAGAGGTCATCACGGGTCATACCGGGCTTGCGGGGAACACCGGCGGGGATGAGGATGATCTCGGCGCCACTGAGGCAGTCACGGAGACCGGAAGCATCGGGGGTGTAACCAGTAACGGTGCTGTTGGTGTTGATGTGGCTCAAATCAGCAGCGACACCTAAATTACATCAGTAATTGAATCATGTTGCAGTCGAAACATTATCATACCGGGTCCACCACGGATATCGTAGAGAGCGAGCTCAGAAACACGGGGGTTGAGCTTCAGCAGCAGCGAGAGAGGCTGGCCAATACCACCGGCGGCACCGAGAACGGCGACCTTGGAGGCCTGTGGGAGGAGTTAGCTTAATTGAAGGTAGAGGGATAGTTTGTTTCACGCACATTGATAGCGGAGGCCGAGAAGGCACGCTTCTGGAAGAGGTTGACAGTACGACGAGCGGCAAACATGATTGATGGTGTGTGGAAAGGGAAGAAGAAGGAGAAGGAGAGATTCCGGTGAAAGAGATTGGCTTGGCTCCACAACAGTTTCCGTCCTCCCGAGCTGCCGGTGCTCGGCTGAGGTTGCTATGTACAACATGTGTTTCTCGGAATTGTTTAGTTTTTTTCTTCTTCTTTATATTAAGATAGAATCTAAATAATATCTCATTTCATGGTATTCTCGGATGTACTGATGCATGTGCCATCGCAACATCTTACCTAGGTAATTATTTTCATGTGCCAAAAGTACTACATATGTACGAATATTGGCTTGAACCTTTGTTGACCAGAACCTCCATGCCTTGGAAAAGGGACCGGCTTATATGTAATTGAAGGTGTGACTACCTAGGTAGTATACGAACATGCACAAACTAAGCTAGAAAATATCTTAAAAAAGGCATATATAGAAGATCTGAACAGACCACTAAATATATATCACAAGGCTGGATAAGCAGCCCACTATTCTTGTTGAACATAGAGAAGTTCCAATTTCACTCAATGCCTCCATTATATGGTTAGATGGTTCTCTTACAAGTCTTAGAACCGTGCTGTATCACCAAGAATAATAGCTGATGGACCATAGCTGCCTATAGCATATATATACATTTACAAAGACCAGACATCCCCAGATAAACATAGATACTTGATTGGCAATAAGAACATCAATTGCAAGGACCAAACGCCGACGCTGATGAACTCAATACAAGATACAAGACCACATGGGGTAACCCCTAGGTGGACCCCAAGAACCCTCGCCAGCTCCCAAATATACCCCAGGCAGAGATCAAAAACACATGGTGATATAATCTTACCGCAAGAAGTGTAGCACGGCCCAGCAGAACAAAAAGAAAACCACCACTCCGCCCCAGAAAATCCACTTATCCTGACGTGCCCGCCGCTCCACCATCCGGATTGTATCCCCGCTCACACCGAGTGTGTTCGCAACGCTGTATAGTCGCCGCTGCGTACCCTTGAGTACTTCACGCTGCTGCCCGAGGTCGGCGAGAACCGCTCTGCCTCGGTCCAGGAAATCATCGAGTTGGTTGTGTGTATTGGAGAAGAAGGACTGCTCGCGCAACGCGGTGGTTTCGCGATTGTAGTCTGCTGGGCCAGCGCCAAAGCCGAGACCCGAGGATGAGGGTGCAAAGGCTGATTTGCTCTGTGGGAGTGAAGACTGCGCATAGGGATTCTCTGGTGTTGCGGCGTGGTGTGGGCGACGGCCTAGGAGTTCATTGTGATTGGCAACTGATTGCTGGCACCGGGTCAGTATTGGAAGTACTCTGTGAAAGAATTGATGGGCACATACTGCATCTTCACGTTCTTTGCGGAGTCGATCGAATTGTGTCCGGTAGTCTGTGAGCTCACTTCGGAAGTTCTTGATGCGGTCGAATGCCTTTTGTTGTTTCTCGGGAATCAGTTCCTTCTTGGAAAGCGCCGAGTAGTCATCGACAGTGCGGGAAAGCGACGCCAAGGAGGCTGCAAGCTGGCCTAGGAGATTTCAGTCAATATATTGGGTTGCACACAGTCGGTGGTAGGAGCGCACCTTGTAACGCGGGCGAGGAGGTGGTCGGTGACTGTGAGAATGTGTCCAAATCACGGCGGATGGACGATGATTGCTTTAAAGCAGAGTTGAATAGCGAGTTCTGTTCATGTCAGCTGTGTTAACCCATCGCGGAAAACTGCAACATACCATGTTGTCAATGCGAACGGTATAGATTGGACTCTTGGATTGCTTGTACACCCGGTAGTCGTGGAGAGTGGAGCACTACGTCTGATAGCAGGATGAGTAAGAGACGACAAGCTCCCGAGCTAGTGACTTTATTTCCACAAACACCAAGGTGGACATCAACTGATCCAACCGGAGGCCAGATGGTCTTGTTTGGGCCCATTCTGACGTAGTTCACCGCCTTCAGGTACACTGCATTCGATATGGAATCCACTACATCTGCAAGCCCTTGGGATATTTTTAGATTCTGCAACTCATCTCAAGTTCAAATATCTACAGGTCATAATTTCTGACAAACTACACTTGACTTAATCTTAGAACTTCAAGAAAAATGATATCGTCGTTAGGGTACTGATACAGTCAATCCGATCCGACTCCATTTTCGCCAAATGAACATAATGCAAAACCACAGAAGAGGTGGGATGGTATATCAAGACACAAAGCAATTAGGCAACATCAAAATAAGAGATGAAACGCCGTACATCTATTTGGGGGGGGAACTTGTTCTGCAAGAACCACCTAGACAATGTATTAGCATCATTGCCATACTCATCAGTCTTAAAGTTTATGCAGTACTTACTTGCTGACAAAGTAGTCCACGGCACCAAAGACTCCAACCGCACCGGCAGAGAGTCCGACCAGCTCCCAGGAGAGGTTGCCCCGCGCGTGTTGCTTGTAGGCACCGAAGCCGAGACCTGCACCGATCACCGTAGCGATAGCGGCGTTGGCAACAAAGACAGGGTTGCAGCTGTTTTCACAGATGCCACTGCTCTTCACCTTGTGGGCCTTGGCCTTCTTCTTCTTTTCCTCATTCTCATGCTTCTCCTTCTCATCGGATTCGCGCTCTATCCGCTCCGCCTGAGTGGTGGTTTTGACATCGTTCTCGAGGAAGTCGGACTCCACAGTCTGCACGTGGGGGCCATCAACGTCGATCAACGAGGCCGTGCTCTCGGATTCATCGTGGTAGACTCCGCCCATAGGGGGAGCACGACTGGAGTCCATGTTAGTGGTGTGTAGGTGATAATAGATACTATAGAAAACTCACGCCTATTCTTTGTTAGTGCTGCAATTTGGATATAGGAGCTTGAATACTTACATCCTCGGGGGACTGCTTGGGGCCCTTGGCAGCTGCGTCGGCGTAAGACATGTTATGAGAAGGTAATGATTCTGGAGAATAGGTTAATAGCTAAAACAGAAAATAGAAGAAGGGATAATTACCAAAAACGTTGATATGATGAAGAAAGTTCGAGGGGAAAAGGGAAGGATTTATACCAAGGAAGCCAGGTATGACATCATTGACCTGGAGTTGATCTGGGCCCACCCTTGAATTTCCGTTGATCTCATATAATATCTACATATGTATACGGGTATACTAGTTCTAGTTAGTATATGATATTCTAGATTCTTTTGAACATATGCACTTCCAATATAACTCACTCCAATGTAAGAAGATATGATACTCTTAACCTCGGGCCCCTCAGCCACTTACGTTATCAAGCTCAACACCAAAACATCAAGACGAAGAAAATTCCATTGAGAGGATTTAAAGCTGCTAAAGAGATCAAAAACAAATGGGACCTATGTAATGGTCTAATGGGGGAGGCAAGGTGTTTTAATACAGATTACAGATAAGTCAGAACGAGAAGGGCTTCGCTATTTACAGCAGAAGCTCCAGAGGGTTCTCGACGACCTTCTTCAGCTCCTTGATCCATTCACCACCAACGGCACCGTCAACTACCTTGTGGTCGAAGCTACCAGTCACAACAATCTGGTCATCCCACTCGGTAACGGTGCCCTCCTCGGTCTCGACGGGGATAGCGACCTTGCGGGTGGTGCCAACAGCCAGGATACCGGCCTGCGGGGGGTTGATGACAGCAGTGAAGCGCTCGACAGCGGCGTTCATACCCATGTTGGAGATGGTGAAAGTGCCACCCTGGTACTCCTCGGGCTTAAGCTTGTTCTCGCGAGCACGCTTGCCAAGGTCCTTGATTTGCTTGGAGATGCTGGAGAGTCCGAGACCCTGAACGTTCTTGACGACGGGGGTGATAAGACCGGAGGGGGTAGACACAGCGACGCTGATATCAGCGGTGTTGTGCTGACGGATGACGGCCTGGCCGTTCTCCTCGCGCCAGCTGGAGTTAACCTGGGGGACCTTCAGAAGAGCAACGGCGCAGGCCTTGACCAAGAAGTCATTGACGGAAAGCTTGTACTGACCCTCAGCGGAAGCGTTCAGGGCCTGGCGGAGCTTCAGAAGCTTGGTAACCGAGAGAGTGGTGGAGACGAAGTAGTGGGGGTTCTCGGCCATGGACTGCTTCAGGCGGCTGGCAATGGTCTTGCGCATCGAGCTGACGGGGATCTCCTCGAAGGAAGCCTCACCGGAGACAGCGGTGGTGGCGGGCTTGGCCTTCTCAACGTCCTCCTTGGTGATAACACCACCACGACCGGTACCCTTGAGGCCCTTGATGGACACACCCTTCTCGAGGGCCAAGACCTTAGCGGCGGGGCTGATAGTGGGCTCACGGTCAAGACTGGGCTGGAGCTTCTCGTCCGAAGTCTCAGGCTCTTGGGCGGCGGGGGCCTCCTCAGCTGGGGCCGGGGTGGAGGGCTCGGCGCTCTTAGGCTCCTCCTTCTTCTCAGCGGGGGCAGCCTTGTCACCACCAGCATCGGCCAGGGTGAAAGACTCGAAGGCAGAGACATCGGCACCCTCCTCAACAAGGACGGCAATGGGCTATAAGGCAAGTTAGATTGTTGTTTTCCCCGCGGAGAGAAACCGGGAAATTTCTTACCGAGCCAACAGCGATATCCTTATCGCCGCTCTCCTTCAGGACCTTGGCCAGAACACCCTCATCCTGGAACTCAAAGTCCATCTGTGCCTTGTCGGTTTCGATCTCTACCAGAACATCACCGGGCTGGAGGACATCTCCGGCCTTCTTCTGCCACACGCCGATGTTTCCGGCGGTCATTGTCGGCGAAAGTGCCGGCATGCTGATGAGTGTGTGGGGAGGGAAAGCTATGGGAAAACATATTAGAATTGATGTGTGGGACAAAGGATGAATCAATTGTCATACACTTGGAGGCATAGAAGCGGGAAAGGGCAGAGAGCGCAGGCACTTGGTTCCTAGTGGAAACATCATCAGTATCAACCTGCAATCACAATTGACATTAGTGAAACATACTGAATCACCTCCTGGAGCTTGGAGGAGACCTGAGGCCGGCGCATAGCGGCGGCTCCTCTGGACATGAACATGGCGCTCGGGGTGCGCATCCGAATAGCTGACGCAACCATGGTGCCTGAGACTTGTTGCGATTATAAAAAAAAGAAATAAAAACCCTTAACGCTGAGATGAAAGAATAAGAAGAGCCCGGCACAGAGAAAACGTGGAGGGCCAAGAATGGATAAGGTTGGGGTGGAAGGAGATGCCTCTAAATCACGAACTTTTCTGTTGAGCTACCTATGGCTCCCGGTGAGAAGAGCGGCAGCGGCCTCTTCCGATATAGTCACGTGCGGTAATTTACAATCTCAAGCTGGCTGGTATTGTGTTTTGAGGGCCAATGCTTTACTCACCGCTTTAAGTATACACCCATGCTGGAAAACATTTGAAGGCAAGCTAGATCTAGGAAGTACCTGCTTGAAAATAATTTCTCATAATAAACCATCATTCTGACTTACAGTACCCCAAAATGTGCTATCATAAAGGGTAGATATGTACATAGTATGTATGTAAAATGAATAGTACAAGTTTACAGAACTAGACGGGTAGGATTCTGCCTGGCAAAAGAACCGGTGAGAGACTGAGGAATGTCCAGGGGTTGCCGACATCCCAGGGCGGCAAATCCTGGGCTGAGGTAAGCATGCATTAGTCCCGATTCGGAGAAGACACGCAGCCCCCGTCCTTACCTGTCATTGCGATTGTTTGGAGCTTCCCCTCGTTTGCTCGTTCAATGTTTTTGATCTAATTAGATCACTCCGCCCGGAGTCTCCTTGACCATGGCGGATACCGACCCCGGCTCCGAGCCGACTCAACCCATTGAAATGCCTGAGAAACCCGTCGAGACCCCCGACATATCTCCTACAGCAACAAACTCCGAGCCAACACTGGCCGAGCAGACCGAATCACAAGAGCCAACCCAAGAGGGTGACGAGGAGGTAGTCGAGGGCCAGGAAGATGAACAAAAACCAGAGGTGCCGCTCAAGGACGAGCCTGAACACACCGAAGAAGAACCCCAAACAAACGGTCCACCCACGATCCAGGAACCCCCCCGGGAAGACAACAATGCGACAGAAAGCAGGCTGCGATCGGATTCGCGGTCAACAACTGCTACATTCATGACGCAGCGATCCACCCCGGTCAGCTCTACGGTCTTTATTGTGACGGCTCTGGACAATATCGCTGCTTCGCGGGACGCCCGGAGGGACAAAAAGCTGGAGGATGCCACACAGGTTGCCCTGGCCAATATCAGACAACCGGATGGGCAAGCAATTGATCCAGAGTTGATCTTCCGCCCCCTGCATCTGGCAAGCAAAACCCTCAGCATTCCTCTGCAGGTAACTGCATTGGACTGCATCGGAAAGCTGATCACATACTCCTATTTCGCATTCCCATCCGCCGAGACAGAGAATAAAGACACCCGCGAACAACCTCCCCTTATCGAGCGTGCTATTGATGCGATCTGCGACTGCTTCGAGAATGAAGCTACAGCGGTTGAAATCCAACAGCAGATCATCAAATCGCTGTTGGCAGCGGTCCTAAACGATAAGATCGTCGTGCATGGAGCTGGTCTCCTGAAAGCAGTCCGCCAAATTTACAACATCTTTATCTACTCCAAGTCCAGTCAAAACCAACAGATCGCCCAGGGGTCGCTCACACAAATGGTCAGCACAGTCTTTGATCGAGTGCGGACACGCATGGATCTAAAAGAGCTCCGAGTGCGAGAGCTGGAAAATCCATCCTCGGCCCTCGATGCATCGGCGAGCGACGTGGGTCCAATTTCGGAGGCGGCTTCTGTGTCTATGGCTGATCAGCCCGTGACCCAAGAGCCTACCACCGAGAAGCTCACCCTACAGAGTTTCGAGTCACCCAAGGAGGTTACCACTGTTAATGACAATGCGCCGACTACAGTTACGCGCGCTAAGCGGCGGTCAACGACGAGGTCAATGTCGGGGATCCCCGAAGAGAGAGATGATGATAGCTCGGCGGAGGATGAAGTGGACGAGATTTATGTCAAGGATGCCTTTTTGGTTTTCCGAGCTCTCTGCAAGTTGAGCCATAAAGTTCTAACCCACGAGCAACAGCAAGATGTCAAATCCCAGAACATGAGGTCGAAGCTCCTTTCACTGCACTTGATTCACTATCTCATCAACAACCACACCGCAACCTTCATATCTCCTCTGGCAGCAATCAAGAACAGCTCATCCAGCGTGGATGGAATGAATCTCCTGCTAGCTGTACGGCCTCATTTGTGCTTGAGTCTAAGTCGCAATGGCTCCAGCGCCGTGCCTCATGTCTTCAAAGTTTGCTGTGAGATCTTCTGGTTGATGCTGAAGGACATGAGAGTTATGATGAAAAAAGAACTCGAAGTGTTCTTGAAAGAAATCTACCTGGCCATTCTCGAGAAGCGCGGGGCTCCTGCGTTCCAAAAGCAGTACTTCATGGAGATTCTGGAGAGGCTAGGTGGTGATCCACGGGCTCTGGTTGAAATCTATCTCAACTACGACTGTGACAGAAGTGCATTGGAGAACATCTTCCAAAAGTATGTGTTACTGAATTCTTGGTCGTCTTCGACATGAACTAACCTCCTTAGTATCATCGAGCAATTGTCCCGGTACTCGAGTGTGCCGGTTGTAACAACATCTTCTCAGCAGCATCAGTACCAAGAACAGCACACTAAAATGTCAAATATTGGTTCCGAATGGCACCATCGAGGAACTCTTCCTCCTTCGTTGACAAGTGCCCATATTGTCCCTACTCCGCCGCCTCCGATGCCTCACATTCCATCAGAGTACGGATTGAAACAACAGGGTCTGGAGTGTCTTGTGGAGATATTGCGCTCATTGGATAACTGGGCCACACATCGCATTGATGAACAGCCCGAGGCAGCCATTCCCTCTAAGTCAATAGACAATTCCCGTGAGTCCCTGGACACAAGCGTGCTTGTTCCACCGCATCCCGAATCCTTCGAGAGTGGGACGGGCCGGTCCACTTCTATGCCTGAAGACGACCCAAACCAGATTGAAAAAGTCAAGCAACGAAAAATTGCTCTCACAAATGCTGTCCAACAATTCAATTTCAAGCCCAAGCGCGGCATCAAGGCCTTCCTGAAAGAAGGTTTCATCCAATCCGAGTCTCCCGAGGAGATTGCCAGCCTCCTGCTTCGCACGGATCGCATTGACAAAGCCGTGCTGGGAGAGTATCTTGGTGAAGGAGAGCCGCAAAACATTGCCATTATGCACGCTTTTGTCGATCTGATAGACTTTACGAAACGACGCTTCGTTGAATCCCTGCGCTCGTTTTTGCAGCATTTCCGCCTGCCTGGTGAGGCCCAAAAGATCGATCGGTTTATGCTGAAGTTTGCCGAACGATATACAACTCAAAATCCCAATGCCTTCGCCAACGCTGACACCGCATATGTGCTTGCATACTCGGTGATCCTACTTAACACAGATCAGCACAGTTCGAAAATGAAGGGCCGCCGTATGACGAAGGAGGACTTCATCAAGAACAACCGCGGGATCAATGACAATCAAGATCTGCCAACCGAATATCTTGGGGCCATTTATGAGGAGATCGGAAACAATGAAATTGTGCTATACACCGAGCAGGAACATGCTGCCAACCTTAACCCTCAACCCCCCGCTCCCACTGGTCTTGCCACCAGAGCTGGACAGGTGTTTGCTACCGTTGGACGAGACATCCAGGGTGAGAAATATGCACAGGCTTCTGAGGAAATGGCGAACAAGACGGAACAACTCTATCGTTCCCTTATTCGAGCCCAACGCAAGACCGCACTCAAAGATGCTCTCTCCCACTTCATTCCCGCAACATCAGATCGTCATGTTGGGTCCATGTTCAATGTCACATGGATGTCTTTCCTATCTGGTCTGTCTGCGCCGATGCAGGATACCTCGAACCTGGAAACCATCAAGCTCTGCATGGAGGGCCTCAAACTGTCCATCCGGATTAGCTGTGCCTTTGATCTAGAGACTCCTCGTGTGGCATTTGTGACTGCCTTGGCAAAGTTTACCAACCTCGGAAACGTGAGAGAGATGATGGCCAAAAATGTCGAGGCCCTGAAGGCCTTGCTCGACGTCGCCTTCACCGAGGGCAACCACCTCCAGGGCTCATGGCGGGATGTTTTGACATGTGTCAGTCAACTTGATCGGCTACAACTCTTGAGTGATGGTGTCGATGAGGGATCACTGCCTGATGTTTCAAGGGCACCCTCATCAGGAGATACCTCCCGCAGATCCATGCAAAGCACACGACGCGCTCGCCCTCGCTCTGTGAATGGGCCAACCGCTTTCCGCCCAGAAATTGCCATGGAGAGCCGTTCGGCAGATATGATTCGCGGCGTGGACCGTATCTTCACCAATACGGCCAATCTATCACATGAGGCCATCATCGACTTCGTCCGGGCCTTGAGCGAGGTCAGCTGGCAAGAGATCCAATCTTCCGGTCACACCGATTCGCCCCGAACCTACAGTTTGCAGAAGCTCGTTGAGATCAGTTACTATAACATGACTCGTGTCAGGATTGAGTGGTCTAAGATCTGGGATGTTTTGGGTCAGCACTTTAATCAAGTTGGCTGCCACTCCAACACCACGGTTGTGTTCTTTGCCTTGGATTCGCTCCGGCAACTTTCGATGCGCTTCATGGAGATTGAGGAGTTGCCTGGCTTTAAGTTCCAAAAGGACTTCCTTAAGCCTTTCGAACATGTGATGGCAAACAGCACCACTGCCGCTGTCAAGGACATGATTCTAAGGTGTCTGATCCAGATGATTCAGGCCCGTGGCGATAACATTCGTTCGGGATGGAAGACCATGTTTGGTGTCTTCACGGTCGCAGCACGGGAACCTTATGGTAAGAATAGCTGGTCAAATTACTCCGTAGCTCGCTAACGCATCAAATAGAGGGAATCGTAAACATGGCTTTTGACCATGTCACCCAAGTCTACAACACCAGATTTGGCGTAGTGATCACCCAAGGCGCCTTCGCAGATCTCATTGTATGCCTGACTGAATTCTCAAAGAACTCCAGGTTCCAAAAGAAATCGCTTCAGGCAATTGAGACCCTCAAGTCTACCGTCACCAAAATGCTACGGACTCCAGA